GAACCCAGCTTTTGACGCCCAAGATGCCTGGCCGTAATGGTGCGGTACCACTTACGACGTTTCGGCGAAACTCCTAATGCCTGGTGTCCAAACAGGCCTGCCATGCAAATGGAAGCACGCACTATCCTGAGCCGATGTTTCTGGCCCGGCACCCGCAATTTACACAATTGGCTGTGCCTGGCCTTTGCCTTTTGGCGCCTCTGCTCCGCAAGCCCCAAAATGTGCCTCCTGACTCCACCTGAGGTTATACCCAAATCTCGGGCAAAGGGCTTAACCTCTGGATCCGTGGGGCATCTAAGCTTGTTTAGGGCTGTGACCGCCCTCGCTGATGTCGCCACAAAGCACGTTTTGTCCATGGACAGGCTGGCACCCCTAACAGTCAAGGAAGTGCGGAGGGACCTGAAAAGCTTAAGGCTCGTGCGGGCAGCGGTCTCAGCGGAAGCATCCACAGCATCAAGACTTAGGTCGTTTACCCACACATCCAAGTTCGTGGCTCCTGTTTTGGAAGTGACGCAAGCTGCAACCGGGTGGATGATGAGCTTCGCAATTGAAGGGGCAGCAGGACACCCGGCTAGTACTCCTTGTGATGGCCAAATCGGGGGTGCCAGCGCACCCTCAGACTGCAAAAACCGGGGAGCCGAATACACTAGCCAAGCCTGGTGGAGTATTAGAGGAGGGTAATTCAGGTCTAAGCCGGTCTTTAACATGTCACTGAAACGGCATCGGTCATAAAAATTTTCAAGATCAAGAAACACTGTGATCATATGCGCCTTGGCATGTTTCGTGGATTCGCCACGCATCAGCCGGCCCAGTGCAACATCCAACACTTGGGACCCGGGCAGTGCCTTGTCCCATGCTGCATTTTTGGAATATGACACTTGCCACTCCGCAATTAGATCCCACCGCAGCCGGATGTACGAGCGGTATAGGAAATGAAGAAGAGCTATAGGGCGTTCTTTCTTCGCACTCTTAGGCAGCAGTGAAATGAGTGCAACGACAATCTGGGCAGGCCACTCAGCTCGCAACTCACAGGCGCGCAGAAAATCCACCACAGCCTGAACGGCCTCACCTGACATATTGCGCAACATGTCTGCGGACCACCCGTCGATGCCTGGGGCCTTTTTGGCTGCTTTACGGAAGTACGCGGTGGCCCGCTGCACTGAAATGGGAGGCAAACTTTGAGCCTGGGCGATGGCTCGCTGCTTAACTTCCTCAGCCAAATGCAGATCAACTTCCCCAGTATCGGCATTATGCCACACAGCATGCCACTGGCGCCAACGCAAGTATATGCGCTCTTGGAGCGGCGCCTCTAGAAAGGGCCTCAAAGTCTTGCCTTCATGCTGTTTGACACTTTGAAAGAGCGGTCGCATGCCACCTTTAGTTGACTGGTCAAGCCATTTTTGGTAGGACTTAGATTTATCTTGCATCCAAGTTTGGGTGTGCTGCTGAAGCTGTTGCCGGACAATTGGCACAAGGGAAGATATCAGATCGTCTGACTGTTGGGCTAACAAGTCTGCAACCTGCTCCGAGCAAGCTTTGGCTAGGTCCGGCTCGCCGTGCCAAAATTGGGAAATGCAGGACACAACCTGGGACCCCAAGGGACATGTCTGAGGGGTCTTTTGACACGCTTCCAGCCAAGACAGCAAGCGGCTCCAAAACGCGCATTGTTGTCCTCCCCAGCCTGCACCTGGCCTGCCTTGCACTTGCAGGGGTGCCCGAATCACAGGGATATGCACGCCACGGCCCTGGACGTTGCCGAAAACAGATTTCTCTACTGCCGAGGATAATTCTGCAAATTGCTGCGCCAATGCTCGATTCTGAATCTCAAGTCCCAGCACATGGAGCTGATGCTCGCACTGCCGAGGCTCAAAAGTTTGTGCCTGCACCTTCTGCGGCTTAAAAGGTTTGACTTGTGGAACGCTGAGCAGGATATCGGAAACCTGCCATTCCCATTCCAAAGCAGCATGCGGTTTGAAGGGCGTGAGCCACTGTGAACGCACCGTCACCACATGTGACAGCGCCCTGGAAACCACGCCAAAATCGATGCGGCTTCCACTTGCAATCGTGGGTCCTTCAGGTGCAAGCCAGGCTCCTTTCGCTTCCAAGGCAATGTTGGTAGCAGACAAAGTTTCAAAATCATCATTAAAATCACCTGCTGCTATGTAAGAACCCCTAACAGAGGCAAGGAAGGGAATCAGATGCGCAAGCACCGCAGAATTGGCAGGACTCTGAAAACCTTCTCCAGACTTCAAGTAAATGTTCACCAGGTATAGAGGTCGGTGCCTCGCACCCGCATGGCAACAGAGTGGAAGCCCGCACCTTGGTGAGCAAAATGGGCCGCCTGCCTAACATCAAGATGCTTCCGGACACAAATGGCAAGCCCTCCAGAGTAGCCTCCTTTACCGGTGGCAATTGCAGGAAGTTGGAAGGATTGGAACCCATGTTTCCCGACGGCATTTGCAAGCTGCTCGTGCTTGTCCTCTGGTAAATGAGTCTCTTGCAGCAGAAAGACGTCTACGTGCTGGTCTGCAATCCAGTTCGCAATGTCCTTGCGCCACACGGTGATGTTGGCACTCGTGACACGGAAGGTTCTAGGCCTGGAGGGCTTGTTAAGGTTGGCAATGACATCTTCCGAGGCGGAAATAGCCAGCATAGGCTCATCCCCGTGGCATGCCTGCATGGCCAGGTCTGCTGCGAACCATGGGAAAGTACCCTCCTGGATTAGCCCCTGGTCCTCAAGTTGAGAGACAATCTCAACTACTTTATCTTCCTGCACTGGCTTCAATGCCAGTTGAAGTCGCTGCCACAGCCCCAGATGACATTCAGCCTTCGGTGGCCGTTGTTGTTGCCGAGGCGCACGGGTATATACGTGCGCTGTCTGTCTGAAGGATGTGGGCTCGCAGTGCTCGCCACGGTCCCGTACACGATCAAGGGAGTGATGGCATCTTGCCCGAGCGCCGCCGACAGGGCTCGCATCGAGAAGCTCACCAACAAAAGGGCTCTCCAATGAGCTCGGCGGAATTATGGATTCGGAGTACGGAACGGACAATTCCCAAGAATGCCTCAAAGCAAACCCCCTCTCCCGGGCCGGGAGAGGGGGTTTGCTTTTCGGGAGTTTTGTAGCAATGCGGGACGATTTGGAAATGCTTTGCACTGTTTCTTGAGTGCAGCCATCGGGGCGCACATCAGGAGAATTATCCAAAGTTGGGCACGCTGTAGCCCCTGGTGGCATCACTTGACCCGGAGTCCGCGGTGTCGGTTTGCGGGGGAAAGCCTTATCTGGCCCAAACCCTGGATTTTGGCTCCAAATCTGGACTTTGGGCCGGAAGTGGCTGGTTTGGGGCCTGATCTGGCCCAAACCCTGGATTTGGGCTCCAAATCCTGACTTTGGGCCAGAAGTGGCTAATTTTGGGTGTAGCGGTCGTCCACCAACTTGGTACACTCGCATAATATCCTGTGCAGGCTCAAGCTGATAGCATTGGCGGTTCACGGGTCTAGGCGGGATTACCTTAGGCTGGTCAGGGCAACGCAAGGAGGCAGCATGTGTCAGGCACTGCGAGCAGAACTGCAATACATCATTGAGAACATCATGGAGATCCTCGGAAGGCTGATCTGACAGGACCTGGTGGCATGCCCGAACGAAACCCTGGACCTCTCTGTCAGGGGATGCTCCAAATGCATGGCCGTGGCCACAGCTCAAGCATGTTCCTGCAAGGTTCAAGCCGCTTTGGCCAGCAGCAGCTGGGCGCTCTGGGAAATTGGGGTTAGGGCCCGACAAACAAGCGGGTGCACACGGGTTAGGGACTTGAAATGAGAACCAACTGCACTCCTGACTCCGGGCTTGCGGCTCAAGTGCATTCAGGCATGCATAGGCGTCTAGGAGCACGATTCTTCCAGGGCGAGTCCTGGCTGACGGCCTGCCACAACAATACGAGCAAAGCAATGCTGCACCTTCACAAGGAATAAAGACAGCAGGAGCTGCACCCGGTTTCAAACAGCTATCACACTGCAGCCTGGATCTTGAAAAACCCTGGGAGGCACCACATGCGGTGGGATTTTCCAGCTGCCCTGCAAGTCATTCCTTAAAAAGCTGCCCGCGCTGAAAATTGGGGTTAAGGCTAAGGTCCTCAATCCACGAGAGAGCACACGGTTTAGGGAAAGGAAATGATTCTTCCCCGCTTCCATGGGGCCTTGCATCTGTGAGGCTGCTGCGGGGTGTAGGTGTCGGCATCTGCTGAGTCGAGTGGCCCTCCCTGCATGTTGAGGGAGACGAGCCGTGGAACGGTGAACCAAAGGGCTCCTGTGACGCAGAAGCCTGAAAGGGCTGATCATCGGACCCGGGCTCACGGGATAAGCCCTCCTCAACGAACCTGAGGTTGCAAGAAGGCATTTTTTCCGAAAAATCACTAGATGCGACTGCGGCAGTCGCAAGTGTGGGTTTTTCGGGAAAAATGCATACTTGCGACAACGGTGTCAGGCAGGTCCTAAACGCAGGATTTGTCGCTGGCGGTTCAGAGATCTGGACTACCTGCTCAAAGGATACTGGTTCCAGGGAAAGACCCTGCTCAACGACGTTGGGGTTAGGGCAGCCTGGACCGGCCAGCACGCACGGGGTTGGGCTACAAATTGAAGCTGCGTCGGCACTTGGCGAAATTGCAACTGCATCCCTTTCAAGCTCACGTGCATCCGGCGCAAGTGGAAATTTTGAATACTTTACGCCTTCGGATTTAGCAAGAAAATGGAGATTATCCTCGGCAAAGTTTGCACTCGAAATCTGCTTCTGTTGATAACTCCTCCTCCGGTTACTGCCATCCTCCACACGGGCCCTGGGGGCTCCCCGAAGGGGCTCCATTGAAGCTGATGACAAAGATCGCGCAACTGCCAGCTTAAACGCGGGGTTCGGGCCTCCAGGCGTGGAAGGAAAGCACGGGTAGGGGTTACAAAATACATTTTCCACACCGGCAGGCTGATGAACGGGGCCAGCCAGCTTTGCACACAAGTCAGGCTGCAGCGCCCCCGTCCTCGGTAAGGCTTGAAGTCGGAGCCTTCGGTGGAACCTGCGCCTGGACCGCCGTGACCCGGATATCACAGTTGAGCGGGTCACCGGCCTAGGTGAGACCCCCTGATCCGGACGGTCAGCTTTTGCATCACGTGAGGCAGCACAACACTCGCCCTGTTCCGCCTCTCCCTCCAAGGCCTCAACTGGAAAAAATCTTGCACCTGAGATCCTAACCAAACCTCTCCTAGTTGCTCTGGGCATGGTGAAGGCAGCAGCGAGGCAGTTGACACAATGAGTATGGAGGCTCTGCACCAGATGGTCAAGGCCCTCAGTAGGCGGGCCTGCCATTTGCGCGATTTGGCTGTGATGCACAAAACCACAGATTGGTTCGGCGGGGTCAGCGGCACATATGGGCCTCTGTCCACAATGGTGACACAGCGCCGGGTTTCCACAGTCAGTATCCCCCTCCTCGCCGTCAGAACGCTCAAGGTCCCATTGCCCTACGGGGTTTGATCCCGCAGTGGATGAAGCCTGTGTCTGGAGACGACCCCCCATGCGCACCCTGTGGGCTGTTCCCATTCGGCAAATTGGGGTTAGGGCCCTCAAAAGGAGGGAATGCACACAAGTTCGGGTGAGAATTGGATCCACGAAAACTTGCAGAATCCTGCCACTCAAGATTAACAACGGCCTTAGCCCAAATTTTCACTGATGCCAGCCTGCTTCGGGTGGCACTGGCCGGAAGCTGATATTCAAGGATCCTGTGCACAGGTTGGCCTGACTGCACATAAACATCCAGGAAAATATCTCGGCAAAGCTTGGTATGCAAAACATGATCCGGAAAGCACTGCTGACACAAGAGCATCATGTGTGGCCCAGGGCATGACTTCGGCAAGAAAAGTGGTACATGGCAGCCTGCACAACACAAGTCATGACATGCTGGCTGCTGATGCCCTTCCTGCAAGCCTAATCCTAACCCCGGAACTCGAACAAAACACCCTTGCACTCGCGAAGGTTCTGCATGCTCGAGGGCGCCACAGCTTGGCACCGATGCGGCCCTCGAGCTCCGGGTAGAGTACCAGGCTGCCGCCTGGCGGCATTTGGCACACTCGGAAAATTGTCTGCTAGATGGATCACACAACAGCACTTTAGGCGGCTGGTCTCGGCTGAGTGGCGCAAAACACAAGGAACACAATTCTGCGTGACTGAACGCAAGCACTGGGCAGAACTGAGGCCGATGCAGAACGGACTTGTCCGAAAGTGGTAGCCCTTGAACCGATTCGCCAAAAGAAACGCAGGTCTGAGATCTGGACGCAGGGGCACAGGTGAGGCCATGATCAAGCAGAAGGGCTGGCTGAAATGCACAAGCAAGACGCCCACGGTCTACACCTAAAAACTCTTCCACGAAATCAGACCTAACCTGAACCCCCAGCCCAGCTCCCTACCCTTGCTGCGTGCCACGACCTCGGCTCCTGGACCTGGGCTTGCCTTGCTCATGCGACTCACGGTAGTCGTCAAGCTGATCAACATCCATGGCCTCAACCTGCTTGGCAAGAGCCTCAGTTGCCTCCGGCAAGGCCTCGGGGGCCGGGGCTCCAGCAACCGAGGATTGCAATTCCCCTTGCAAGGTAGCCACCAGCTTTTGTCGCTCCTCCAAGGATTCATTGATGGACTTCATGTCTGACAACATGTTGGAGTACAGCTCTTTATGCTTATCAAGACGCACTTGCAAGGCAGCTTTGCGGAAAATAAGGTCTCTCAATTCTGCAGTGGCAATTTTAAATTTTTTGCTTGTTTCGCTCATGACCTCCTGAGGCGTGGGTGGCCGCTCAGGAGGGTCTTCCAGCAGCTTCTGGATGTCAGCTGGCAAGGCACGGATGTGTTGCTTACACAATGAAGCAAGGTCCGGAGGCTGCACCTCGGGCTCTTGGATGCCAAGCTTACATAGAAGCTCACGCTGCTCTTCGCTCACCGAGGCAAACAGGGACCGAGCAGCCTCAGCCTGAGCAGCCTCATCCCGGACTTCCGCTGTTCCAACTGCACCCTTGCCTTTGCCTGCACCTCCTTTGGTTTGCCTGAATAGGCCTGGCGGGGGCTGAGGGATCTTAGGTCTCCACCCCGCCTCCTCAATCTGCTGGCGCGCGTGCTCAGGCAAGGATTCCCAGATGGTTGTCAATGCCCTCTGCGCTTGGTTCTGGCGAGGGGGTCTCGGCGTCTTGGGCTCGGGCTGCTGTGCAGCAGCGGGAGACCTCCACACTCTCACAGACGGACCCCATTGCGGATCCTGCGTCGTTCCCTGCTTTGGTCCTTTCTGTGGCCAGCGTTTGCCACACTGCTGGCAACATGGCCTGTGAGGGCCAATCCGATCCGTCCACACCCACGATCCGCAGCCACAGACGGTGTAATGCCTGGACATCTTGACTGGCATCACTTCCCTGTGTGGGCCTGCGCGCTCTGCGATGGCCTCCTTTCAAGAAGCCTGCAAGAAAAACTCCTCAACTGTACTTTTGCAACAAGTAAACGGGCAATTTTGCAAGGCCCAAATCCAAGAAAATTCTGCACAAGAAAACAAGGATTGGTTCACAAGGTGCAAGAAGAGTTTGCAAGCTGTTTCAAGCAGTGGTTCGGTGCAAATGGCTCAGCTACGCACTTCAGGTAAAACCTGGAACTGCCGCTACCCCGCCCCACGCGTCCCGCGCTGCACAGGCAGCCTACGAGCAAACGTGTGGTTGATGTTTGAGACCTGTCGAGACCCACAGTCTAGATACGGACTCAAACCTGGGTGCCACGTCGGCAACAAGCGTCCACTCGCCAGTTTGAACCGCCACAGCTTGAGCCAAACATGAACTTTCACACCCCCGCTTGGACTGTAATGCCTCAGCGCAACAGTGTAAGCGCAGCTCTTTAGGCTAGGTGCTCTGTTCGTCATCCTCCTCGGCACACATCCGCACGGCAGTCCCTCCTACGGCTACTTTCAAGACTCGCTTAGCAGCACGCAAAAGAGCCCTACCTAGCTTGGTGGGGTAGTAACCGGTTGCCTCAAGACTTTCAGGAGCAACATGCACATGATTCTTGTCACAAGATTTCCCGGAGAAGATTTCACACCACTCCGAACAGTTGCAGGCAAACCACCATCTCTTATAGACCAAATCAAAAGCACATCGGTCTACTTCCCGTCCAAAGGATAGGCCAAGGGACTTCTTCACTCTTTGGTACGTTTCTTCCTTCCAAAGTCCACAGGTCTTTGGCCACTCCTGAGTCAGCAGGACGTCCTGGCAGTGGTTCTGCAACAGCTTTCCTAGCGTTTTCCACGAAGCAACATGCTTCTTCATCTGCTCACGCCAGCGATGGCGAAACTTCGGTTTGTGCCAGTTCTTAAACCGAAAACTACAACCTGCAGTACATGGCGACGCTACATGGATGTAGATCTTGGGCGGATTTCTTTTCAACAGACAGAGCAGTACTTCTCCTAAAAACAACTGTGTGCTCTTACTCAAGAAGTCTTCTTCCTGAGTGATGCCGATATAGGCAACGCTCTCACGCTTGCACGCCGCACACAACGCACTGTCACGGGCACAGAAAAGCTCAACCACAAGCAAAGGAACAACCCCTATAGCCAAATCAACGGCTACCGGACGATACTTCAGCAAGTTCTCCGGAAGCTCTTCAAGCTTCTCGTTGAGGTTTTCAAGTTCCTCCACTCTCTCTCGAAGGTGGTCAGGGGCACACAGTGTCTGCAAGTCTTCCTCACAGATCCGCTCAAGTCCACACGCCTCCAGCAGATGCTGGAGCATAGCTTCTTCAGGACTCTTCGTGAGTCCGTCGCTCGGATTCAGGCATCCTTGGATGAACGTAAGACGCAATCTCTCACTTTGAACAAGCTCTTGCAAGTACCGATGCCTAAGCTCCAAATGCCGCACTCGGCGCAGCAGGCCTTTCATCTTCGAAATAGACAATGCCGCTTCACTGTCAGACGACAAGTAAATGGGATACGATCCCGTGTCACCGGCAGGCAGGCCTTGAAGGAGCGTTTCCAACAGCAGGGACAGGTACACGGCTTCCTTGGCAGCTTCAGTAAGCGCTGCCAGCTCTGCTTCCGCTGAGCTTAAGGCAGTCACTGACTGCTTTCTTGAGAAGCACTTGATCATCATGCCATGCCAAAGGACAATGGCACCTGACACTGAACACACGTTCCACGAGGCATCCACGTACCCCGAGAGCAAGGTCTCCGACTCAAAACTCGGGTCGACCCAGCCAAAAGCAGAGAAGCTCTGAAGGTACTCAGGCAGAGCCATCACCCAACGCACAACTCTTCTCAAACAGGCTTCGGCTTGGCTGTCAGGATCACTCTGAAAACGACCTAGAAACCCAACAGGATAAGCTAGGTGAGGAAGCGTGAGACTGGCCCACATGAGCTTCCCAAGCACACGTCTATACCTCTCGTACGACTCGGTGCTTATTGAACCTCCAGGTTCCTTCTTCCGGTACTCCCTCTCAAGGTTTCCCAAAACAGGCTTCACACCTTTTCCACTGATCCCAAACTCTTCACCAAGCGACTTCAAGTAGCCCGGTTTCAAGCCAAACAACACAGGTCCAGCGTCCGTCACACGGACAATCACTCTTCCCAGAAACTCAAGTTGCCCTTTTCTTCCAGGCTCCAAGATTCCAGTCTGCTTCATCTTGCAAATCTTGGCCAACTGAGCATACAGTTCCTTTGCAATCTTTGGGTTCTGGGAGAAGATGATCAAGTCATCAACATACACCAACACCAAGGTCAAAGAACCGTCCTTTTCAAGACGGTGGTGTACAGTAGGGTCCGCAGTTTCTCCAAACCCAAACTGCCCACGCAACGTGTTGGTGAACTCCAAGTACCAACTCAACGGCCCAACCCGCAAGCCATTCATGGCTTTGTGCAACTGAGCAAAAAGCGGATTGCCCTGGTCATCATACATCCCGTTGGGAAAACGGATGCACTCAACACCTTGGACAGGCGCCTGCATGAAGGCTACCGAGACATCGGCAGACAACAGCGTTCCTCCACGAACCGCGTGTACAGCAAGGACACCTCGCAAAGCTTCCAAGCAGGTCGTTGGGGAATATATCCCATCAGCCAAAGGGCTGGATCCAAGCGCATAGTCACGCACAACCAAACGCGCTCTCACACGGTCAGGGTTTGTCACAGAGGGTTTGGAAGTTAGAACCCAACGAGTGGTGTGGATTCTTCGCACGGCCTTCTTCCGGGCCTCAGCTTCTCCGATAACGGTTGCCACACCAAAGGCGTCTAACTCCGACAGCTCAAGCTTCATCCCTTCTTCGAGATGCTTCCTAGCGAGAACCTTCCCTGAAACCTCACAAACCGCGTTATCTGGGACATGTACCCAGATTTTTCTACCTCCAAACTTCATACTGAACCACTCAGCAGGATTATCTCCCCTCCTCAGCTTCTGGGTCACACGAAGGTCCGGCCCATCGTAGAGCTGGCGAAGACCATACTCATAGAGCCAAGTCAGGCCATCTTCCATGATATTATCTTCACCATCACTCATCTCAACATCATCCTCATCAAGGACACCACTAGGAGGAGGTTCAACATCCATCCCTTCACCATCACCATCACCAGGAAGAGAAGGTGAATAATCTGCTAGATCCTCATCCTCCATCGCATCAGGAGCTCCAGGCTCTTCTGATTGTCCCACAGGGAACTCAAGACTACCATCAGGCAACGCCGGAGGGTCAGGAGGAGGCTGAGGTGCATCTAGAGGCACATCAAACTTGATGGGTCGTTCGGGGTCCTCGCGGTTTCCTTTCAGTTGGTCTAGCACTGCCTTGTCAAACTCTACCGGGTCCCGGGCACGAAAAGAGCTGAAAATCTCCAACCGAGGCGGCTTCCCATCTCCTAAGGGAACAAAGACACGTATCCCAGAGCCGTTGGCACCATGGGGCCCAACGTAAATCGCCCTCACCAGGCGCTTTCCTCGATGCTCCGGATAGTCCTTTTGAGGCTTCCCAAAACCTACCACCCCAAACTCACAACTCTTCACAGCTTGGACCGTAGAACCCCTTAGGCGTTCCAGAGGCGTGCTTTGCTCCTTGGACACATGAAACAAGTTATGCATCCTAACAGCATACCGCATAGCTTCAACAAACAAGTGGCTTCCTAACGGCAGCTGCCCTCCTACACGCTCTTCCAGTCCTAGCCACACAGACCAAAACGCTTCTTTCACTAGGCAAACGTTACGCTCAACAATGCCTTTTGACTGGGGCCTGTTCACTGCAAACGGAACCCAATGCATGGACCGTCCTACAAACGTCCTATGCTTCGCAGAATCCCGGAACACACTCTCCAGGAGGTTTTCTTGGTCACCGTGGACCACGATGTCCAGCCCGTTGAGGCCCATCTCAGAAAGAGCCTTACAAATGGCTGGCACAGGAACAGGGTCCTCAGGACCCAAGACAACAGTGCTCAAATATCCCGAAAGGACGAAAGGACATGAACGATCAAAAGAAACCGAACATTTCGACCGAAGAAGCCAAAATCTACCTGAAGCTCTCCCGGCGCGTAGTGGCTCTTCATGTTCTTGCGTCGTGCTGGAACACGACCACGTGCCGACTGGCACACATCACAGAAACTCAGATAGGGTTGATGCCCTTTGTTCCGGTGCGCTCGCAGACGCTCTGAAGTAATGTATACTGGAACCTCAAGGTCCTCCGGAGGAGATAAACCTGAACCAGACGGCTCGGGACGAGGTTCGGGGTCAGGAGGGCCTGGAGGTTGAGGCTTCGGTTCGGGGTCTGGCAACAACTCTTCTTCAGACTCAACATTGATCTCAACCGACAAACCTGCAAGCATACGCGCCCTATGCACAACACGCTCGGACACAACATGCTCACGCACAACATGTGGGGCCTCAGGAATCCGCGGTGCTTCTTCATTGTGCTGCCCACGCAGGACAGCAACTCTCTTAAGCACTTTGCGGACCAAGCACAACAACCTTCTCATCATTGGCCGTTTGCCTTTCCATGGAAAACACCGACGAGGATTCCTGCCTTTCAAGGTTACTCGCACCCACTTGTGTTTCCTACGGCTTCCGAACCGCAGCTTCCTATGACCCCCGCTTCGACGCACTACCACAGCTACAACACAGACTGCCAGCAGCACGCAAAAGCGAAAACCCGCAACCTTTGAAATAACCCTGAACAAGGCTGCGACACACAAGCTTCCCACGGACCACCTGGGCAGAGCGAGACACTTTGTGGATCCGTTCAGGTAGGGCGTAGCTTCGGGGACACTCAAGCAACACGCACCTACCGCACAACACTCTAGGTTACCTTCTCCTACGGCACTGCACTCTAGACAACCTACCGCTTCGGCACTGCACTCTAGACCGCCTACCGCTTTGGCACTGCACTCTTGAAACCTTTTCGAAGAAGACAACGAAGAGCTCACTTGGAGGGTGACGGGCCTCGAACCCAAGGTTGAGGCCAAAACCTCAGAAACAACACACCGCATCAGATCGAAGGTGATCGATTCCTCTTCTTTGGCGTCGGGGCTAGAGTTGCCCTTGCCGTGGGCCGTGGTGCTCTTGACGGCCTTGTTGAGGGTCTCACTGAAGGTCGTGGCGGTGGAGTGAGAGGCACAACCGACGCACCAGGAGTGATGGGCGTAACGTACTGGCCCACGGATCCGAACACCTGGCGCAACGGCCCTGTGCTCCACGGATTGAAAATGCCTCGGTATCCTGGCGGTGGTGCTGGCGGTACTGGTCCCATGTACCCCGGCGGCGGCGCTGGCGGGAACATGTGCATCTTCCCAACAAACTGCGGTGCTGGTGGTACTGGGCCCATTGGCACAACCATCGGCGGTGCTGGCGGTATCGGGCCCATGTGCCCAACATACGGCACCTGCACCATCTTGGGCATCGCCTTCACTTGAACCGCTCGGACAGCAGGCCTCGCAGCAGCTCGAACAGCAGGCCTCGCAGCAGCTTGAGCAACAGGGCTCACAGCAGCTTGAGCAACAGGGCTCACAGCAGCTTGAGCAACAGGGCTCACAGCAGCTTGAGCAGCAGGGCTCACAAGAACCTTTGGCATTGCTTTGACCGGCGGTGGTCGGCAATGCCGGAGGAGTCAGGGCATGAAACCCCCGGAAGACCATTTCGTTCGGGTCGTGTCTGTTCATGGCCACCGACTCTTCCTGCTCCCTGCGCTGCTCCACGCTGCGACTGAGACGCAACTTCTCCACCAGCGCTCCACGACGGGAAGCGGCTGCTCCAGCCATCTCCCGAAGGTCCTTCCACCGCTCCTCCATCACCAGCATTTGCCCTGGTTGCCGATCCTCCGGGGCCGACATCGGAAACAGAAAAGACCGCTTCCTCACGCCCTGCCCCTGTCGCAACGGCGAGGACGCCATACAGGAGGACCACAAACCGAAAGGCTCGAGACAAACCAACAGCAGAGCAGACACTTTTAGGCTTACGCTTCCGTGGTCCTACTGCGCATGCACTTGCACACTCAGGACGACAGGCAGCTTCCGAAAACTCTGCGCAAACCTTCACTGAAGCAGCTTCCGAGCCACAGGCTCTCACAGTACTCTGAGGCGTTGGCGGCAAAGGCTCTACACTCACACATGCACTCGCACTCCTACCGCTCCTACGGCATGCTTCGGTGTGTGTGGTGCTTGCTTGCTGAAGCAAAACGGCTGCGGACGAAACACAGACTTCAGAACCTACCGCACAACCCTCACACAGCTCTTCAGAACAACCTGCAGGCACTACCTTGGTCTCAGCTGCTACCTCTGCTGCGGAAAAACACTTGCACGAAAACTCACTGCAAAACGCTCTCAGCAAAAACTTAAAAGGGGTCACTTCCAAAGCTCTCTGCGGATGCTTGCTCGGATGCGCCTTCTCCTTGGCGCGGTCCACTTCCATGGCATCTCCCGTGTCGTCGTCTTCTTTCCCAAACTTTGGTGAGGTACCTTTGGGCACTCCTGCCTTGGACTTCGCTTTCGCCTTAGCTCTCGGGGGGCCGATCTCCTGGGCCATTGCCCACCAGCTCCTGGCTTCCGTCTCTAAGGGAACCCAAAACCAGGAACCCTTCCCATTGTACTTCATCAAGCAACTCTCTCCGGGTGTGGCGGTGAACCACGAACACCAACCCGAAAGCGACGCCTGCCAAGAACTGATAACATTGAAACCGATCTGGCAAACAAGGACCTTCTGAAGCACTACAGGCCCTAGCTTCCCAAACTTCACACGGATATCGACCAACCCGAGGCATTCCATCTCGGTGTCGCTAGCGCTCATCAAGACAGGCAGCGGTCCCGAATGCTCCTTCACGACTTCGTAAAACCCTAAAGAAGCAACAGACAACACGTGGCACGTGGCTCCACTATCAACAAGCCACGCAAAGTGACTATTCCTCGAAGAGGACTGGTTCAGCTTCTCTACTTCTTTGTCTGTCATTGTGAGACGTGGGGGCTCAGCATCATTGGGCTCATTCTTGACTGCTTTCCCTGGGCGCATGCCCCTGAGACGATGAAATCTCAAGGCCATCACTTGCTCCGACGGCTCGTCCTCAACAGCGCGTCCCTTGGACTTCGCTTTCGGCTTCGCCTTTGGCTTCCCCTTGTCCTTGCCCTTCTCGCCTTTCTTGCCGCCTTTGCCCTTGCCCTTGGGCTCGCCGCCTCGGCCGCCACCAGAGGGCTTTCCACCCTTGCCTTTGTCTTTGCCTTTTCCTTTCCCACCCTTCGGTGGGTCAGGGCACTGCCAACTGTAGTGGCCAGCCTTGCCGCAGTTCCAACACAAACCCTTCTCGCCAACAGCGTGAAGAGCACCAGCGTCGCAAAGCCTGGTCTGTTCCTCAAAGAACCGGATGCTTGTCACAAGCTCTTCCCAAGTTCCAGACTTGCCGTGCAAAACAACGTAATGCCGGCATTCAGGGTTGACAGATTGAAGCAAAACAGTCAGGCGGTCCGAAGCGCCAGGCTTCAGCTCCGGAAAACGATGGAGCTTCTGATCCACTTTGCCCAGCTCATCTTCTAAGAACCGGACCACATCAAGTGGCCTCTTGTAGGCTCGGGCTCTCGCAGGCAGCTTAAGGGCCTCGTCTCTCACTGCAATTGCCTCCATTCTTGATGAAAGTCGCATGCATTTGCCGCATGACTTCGTACCCACAAGCAGCTTGAGCTTGCCGCATGGACGTGCTTCTCACAAGCTCCATGCCTCTCTCAAACTTCTGCAAACTCTGTTGAAGGTAGTAAAACAACCGAGCAGACCTCGAAGCCACAGGAGCAGACATCTCCGACTGCTTGATCTCCCTGTGGTGCACCATTGCTTGGCGCAACTCGTTGACGTAGTTGTCGTCTATGAGCGCCAACCATGACGCCAAGACTTCACACCAACGGTGCATGGTACTCTTCCAGCTCTTTCACACGCCCCTTTAAGCCTTTCCCATCGCCGGAGCGTCGATGGTGGGCAAAGCAGGGAGGTACTTCTCAGCTCTGTTGCTTCCTACGTGCAACGACGGACCAGCAGGCGCTGGCGGTGGTGGAGCAGACGCTTTGGCTGACGGACTTCCAGCCGCCGCCGTTGAACCAAAAGGCTCAGCTACAGCCGCAGAAGCAGCTTCCGCTTCTCGCCTTCTTCTCTCGTCTGCGTCCATCCGGGCCATCATGACCTGGAGCGTCTGCTGTTGCATCTGCATCATATTCAGCATCAACTGCTGAAGCTGCGGGTCCAAACCAACTGTCGTCGTCACTGCAGGTGGAACCGGTGCTTGCTGTGACACTGGCTGCGGTGCCTGCTGAGGTCCAACAGTCGGTGCAGGCTGAGGTCCAACAGACGGTCCTGGCTGAGACGGCTGACTCGCCTCTCCAGGACTCGGACTAAACAGGTCAAAGTCTTCTTCCTCAGGCACTGGGGTCGCGGCAACCTGGGCAGGGTCGGCCATGGCTTCTCTACAACTACGAGCGTGCTACACACGCTCCGCTACCATGTGAAAACACAGCAGCAGCGCGCTGAACCCTCTTTCTCTCACGGCTTGAGCCAAAGTCAGCAGCCGGAGGCTTTGTCTGTGCAACTTGGCCACAGATATTCTATGTGCCATAGCACTGCAAGTGAAACACTGCTCAGCCACGTGTTCTCCACAACTGCAAAACAAACTCAAACGTCAGTGGGAGTTCTCGGGACCGACTCAAAACTAGCGCAAGCAAAACTACAGCTACTCAGTCACTCCAAAAGTAGTTACAGCAAGGAAAAACACTTCCCTACACTCTCAAGCACTTCAAAAGGCTTTCCACTGAAAGCAAGCTCGTCAGTCAAGCCTCCAAGGCAAAACTTTCAGCTAAAACGACTCACACCTGAGCAGGCATGCAGGACAACCAAAGTACCATGTCTTAAACATGAACTTTCACAGATGTGCTGACATGGCAACACGCGAAGCTGGCCTGCACCCCGCGGGACAACCCGCAGGAGGGTGAGACGCCCCTTGTAGGGCGGAGCGTCCCGCACACAGGGCTGGCAGCCGAAATCAGCTCGCCCTGCGGTGCCACCCGCTGAGGCCTTCAAGAGGCCCTGCAGCCTGCAGCACGACACTGGACAGGGCCACAACTTTCTATGTCGATGCAGCAGCCTGCCAACGTTGGCGAGGTTCTTACCTTGCCGGAGCCAGAGCCTTATCACTACGCTTATTTGGGAAGAGCGCTCGCGGTGTTGGGCCCGCACCATTTGCGCGGTGTCCGAGCGCTCAGCGATTTTTGGCGAGCCGTTCCCTCTCGGGCAATAGTTGCCAATGATTACTTTCGTAGTGCTTCGGGACCGCAGGGAAGATAAAACTGTCGCGTTGGCATCGCACACCTCACCAAGCCTCTGCGCCTTCTGGCGTTGGGTCCACAAACTGTCGAACTTGACCTTGTGGGTGCATTACGAAGCTTTGCGGGCTTTGCCGGGCTGACCTGCTCCCTCCGGTTCCGCTGGCCAGAGAGATCTTGGGCCGTGGATGTCCATCATCTGGTCGGACATGGGCGGCGTTGTCGCCGAAGCGAATGCTCAATTATGCCATAAACAGCAAGGCTGCTGACGCCATGGGCAATTGCATCAGGGGCGTATTTCCTTCGCCTCTATTGCTGTAGAAAACTGCCCAGTAGTGTTTTTTTAGGTGCGACACAGAGTTTTCCTGGGTACCTGTATAGTTTGCATGGTTTTGCTAGTTTCAGGTGGTCTTGCTTTGCTTGGTGGAGGCACCCAGCGGCGGGAGTTTTTTGCCGCGCACTGCCGGGCTTGCTGCTTGAGTGCCCGTTGCGGCAGTGCAGACACACCCGGTGTCGGATCTCTCTCTGGGGAGGGTCTTCCAGGTCTCCACTCTGTAGTAGCTACGAGGCTAGTTTCGAGACGTAGGCTAGAATTCGGTACTTGGAGCGCCTGTCGCTTTTGAGGGCTGGAGGCCGTAGGGCTCGCGATCGTAGGGGCTCTAAAGTGCTTGCAAAACGGGCGCGCGCGGCATCGGAAGCAGTTTGAGGACGCGAAGGGGGCTCGCGAGCTGTTTGGAGGCGCGCCGTCGTGCTCCGGAGCTGTTTTGGGAGCGACACGCGCTTGCGCGCGCTCTGGCGTGGGAGCAGCTGGAGCGCTGCTGATTTGCGGCTCGAAAGTCGCTCGTGAGCTGCTGGCAAGTGCTCGTAAGTTGCCAGCAAGCAGCTCGTAAGCTGCTGGCGAGTGCTCGTAAGTTGCCAGCAAGTAGCTGGTAAGCTGCTGGGCTGCAGCTTTTAAGTCGCTCGCAAGCTGCTGTGTTGCGGTTCGAAAGTCGCTGCGTTGCGGCTCGAAAGTCGCTCGTGAGCTGCTGGCGAGTGCTCGTAAGTTGCCAGCGAGCAGCTCGTAAGCTGCTGGCGAGTGCTCGTAAGTTGCCAGCAAGTAGCTCGTAAGCTGCTGGCGAGTGCTCGTCAGCTGCTGGCAAGTGGCGCGCCCTTAAAGTTCCTCTAAAGCCAGTTTTGCAAAGACTTTAGAGCCCCTAAGATCGTCGAAGCTGCGGGCCGTAGGAATCGACAGTGCTCCGAAGTATCGAATTCTGACCCATGTCTCGAACCAAGGCTTGTAGCTATCACAGAGTGGGGTGCTGGAACACCCTCCCCAGAGAGAGAAAATCGACCGAAAACCCTCGCGAGACAGACGAGTTTAGTCTCTTTAGACTCTTGTCTCAGCTGTCTCGCCTGTCTCGCCTGTCTCGCCCGCCTCCAGCCCCAGCCACTTGGTCTTAGACTGGCAGCGGAAAGCCCGCTTCTCTCAGCGCTTCTCGGTGCTGCTCGGTCGAGCGAGCGTAGGCTTGCGGAACATAAGCTGCGAGAGCCCACATGCTGCCCTGGTGTGGCTCCACCATGTGATATCGGCGAGCATTGAAGCTGACGGGCTTGTCGTGCATGTCCAGCCACCTGCCCCGCAGCTCCCGGTCGCCCCCCTTGCCGGCCAGCAGCGCGGTAGAGTCGCCCTTGTCGTCTTCGATCCACACCCGCCCCCCGGTGTAATCGCCGAGAGCCAAAGCATGATTCAAGTGCCCTGGCATGTTCTGAATGTCGCGGTGCAGGCCCATGCGGGGATTGAAAAGCACGGCGATGGAGGTCCAGGTGCCATTCGGAAAGCGACTCTTCAAGAAGCGGTTCACTGCGGTGCAGGCCGTTCGCTTGCTCGTTGCGATGGAAACACCGCACACGCCTCCGTGCCCAAAAAAGCCCAGCGTGCAATACTTCTCGAACGCTCCAGGCCCCACGACACGGGTGCGCCCTTGATGCTTCCAGTCCGCCGACCACAGGTCCAACAGCCGCACGAGGTTGGCTTCGGTGGGCTCCTCCACAACATTCTGGCACGCTAATTCCATATTTGACATTGCCGAGATTCCGCACCCCAGACGCCCATGGCCCTAAAACACCATGCCGCGCCCCAAATTTTTTCGGATTTTGAGCCCGCCCGCCGGGACTGCGTTTCGAGAAGCCGGCCGTTTTGCGAGCCGATCACGCACAGGCGAGAGCCCGATTTCGGCGTGTCCCCCGCCCAGGTTTTGAGCACGATTTCGGCCGAATCGCACCTTCCATGTCGACTCGGTGCCGAAATCGTCGACCGGATCTGATGTGCAGAAAATTGGGGCCGTGGGCTTGTGGGCGGGACAGAGCCTGGTGAGACAAGCGAGACAACGAGACAAAGCGGTTCTCGCAATGTCTCACTTGTCTCCCTCGTCTTTCTGGGAGGCCGGGCTGGTAAAAGAGAATTTGTGTTGCTTGTCTCGCTCGTCTGTCTGGGGGGTTCGGGCTGGTAGATTCAGAAGAGAGTTTGTCTCAATGTCCCGCTTGATTCCCTCGTCTCTCTGGGGGGCTCGGGCTGGTAGAAGGGAGTTTGTTTTGCTTGTCTCCCTCGTCTGTCTGGGGGCCTCGGGCTGGCAGAAGTCTCAATGTCCCGCCTCTTTTGGTGGCGGGAGGCAAAGGGGGTTTTGCTTGGAGTGGCGGCATGTTCATGGATTCTTTCCTCGGCGATGCTATTTTTGTTTTGTACCAGTAGTCTCGTTAGGCTCGCCGATTTTCGCAGCAACATTTTGCGTGAGAGCTTCAGTTTTTTTGTTTGTGTGTGTTTGTGGTTCAGGGCACCTTAGCCCAGTAGGTTTGATCCACTGCCCTGCGAGTGCCTTGCCACCCTCACCCAGTAGTTCTCTCCCGATCGACCCTTCATGTAAACTTATGGTCACCGCCTCTGCATCGTCGTCCCGAGCGTCGTCCGAGCCGAGCCTGGTCATCGCCAAGCTGAGCGCCCGTCGAGCCCCCGCCGTCGTCGTCGCATCGTGGGGCCGAGCGTTCCGCCCGTCCGAGCCGTCGCTCGCGCCGCCAAAACGAAAACCGACAAGACGCACGCAGCAGTTCGCTCAACCTGCGGGCCCAGGCACCTTGCCTCTAAACCTCCCCTTGAAGACAAGCATTTTAACTACTGGCACACTTGGCCCATTTTTGAGTCAAAAAGCTATTCATTCGGCTCAGCACAAGATATCCACAGGTCGCTAGACTGGACTAGACTGGAAAGCCTTCCGAGTCTGCGACTCTGTCCCAGGATGCTCTAAACCCTTGGTACCCCAACACCCTAAACCATCTAAACCGTTTAGAGTTTTGGCTGAGAGCAACTTTTGAGCCATGGTTTGGAACCGCATTGCGCTTGCCAGTCTGTTGCTTGTCGTGCCCGTTGCTGGCCAGTGCGACGAAGGCACCTGCCAAAGCCTCCGTCCATATTTCAACTGCCAGTTCGACTTCGACAGCGGAGCTGCTGGTGCGGGGAACACGATCACATTCGCACGTTGCCCAGACATTGGCCGCGTTGTCGTTAGGGTCCGATTTGTGGGTGAAGCCCACTCCGACAATGACAAGTATGTGAGCGCTGTGGAAGTGCTGCGGCCGTACATGGATCGTGAATTTTCACAATTGGAGCTGCCCGAAAAACACCTCGCTGACTTGTCTGCTGAAGACAGGTTTGTGGCTCTGGCTTTCTTCTCGGGATTGGGCGCGGCCCTGCGTTCACGACCGATCCGACCGATCCATCGGAAGGGGGCGAGCTATGCCGAACTGCTTTGGCGTGAGAAAGTCAACTGGTCCATGGCATGGGTCTTCGACATCGCAGGACATGCTGCATCGTGCACGTATTGCTTCAACGACACGACATTGGTGCCGCTTCTTCCCTTATGCTTGCGCGAACCGGGCGACCCTGCGGGAGTGTGCCGCCCTAAGGTAGTGCGGCTTCCTTTCGAGCTGGAAGTGGAGGTCATGTCCCGAGCAACGCCCATTGTCGACGAGATTTCGGAACTGAGCATCTCGGAGTTGCTGGTCCTTCTGACTGGCTACACCATGGACCTCGGGAAGATGGCTTCCCTTACCTTTTTGCACGACAACCACATCGGAAATCTGCTGGTGGTCACAAGCCTAGCGGGTGCAAAGAAGATAACCTGGCATGACTTCGGCGGTCGAAGCTACTTTAACGCGGCCACGCAATCGCAGTTCGCAAGCTTCAGGAAATTCTTCGATGAGGTTTTCGAGAAGGTGATTGAATCTCTCAACAGGCACATCGACACCGCGAGCCTCGTTGCCCAGTTGAGCCGCGTAAAATCGGAGTGGACCCTGGAAGGGATTGGAGATGTGGACGTCGTATCAAAAGCGTTGGCCACGCTCGCGGAGAGCCTACAGCAGGTCATCATGCAATGGGCCGAAGGCAGCATCAACATCCGGCGTTCGGTGCTGCAAGCATGGAGCCGAGCATTGCCATCAACGAGACTTGAGGCGCTTCGTGAACTTCTGGAGCAAGGTGGGTCTGTGGGCTTCACTCGCAACTCTCGTTTTCCCAAAAGCTGTTTGGGCAGACTTGTTCTTGAGCAGTCCTGAAAGAGAGGGCAACCCGGATTGGGGACAAACAAACATCAGTGAATGCTGGTCTTGCTCTGAAGCTCGGGCAGTGTTCTTGAATCCCAGTGATGGCCCAGTGTTGGTCGGGGCAATCCCTTGTTTTTTCCACACTGGCGTTTTTCGTTTTCTTCGCATTGCCCCGGTGCCATGCAGTGTAGTCCTATGTCTTCCAGTTGGAGCTGTAGGTGCGAATCCATCAGAGTCCTGTCTGCCGCTCTCGTTTGGTTTCTTGTAGAGCGATTGTTGGAATATCGTCGCACATGGGATTTGTTTCGGTGCCGGCCCCATTCGCCCCACAAAACACCACAAGATGGACAAGGCTCACAATTGAAGTTCCACATAGCGGCTATAGCGCACATGGTTGTCCTTAAAGCCAAATGAAGCTTCGCAACATGGACTGGTCTTGCGAAAATGAAGACATCCTGACACAGTGCTCCCTCCTTACGTGTGTTGGTGCGAAGCTCTGCAGGCCCAACCTCAACCTCATCCGTCGTCTGGGTGCGGCAGCTGGCCCGGGACAAGGACAGTGTTGTGAGCGCACACGGGTTTGCCCTGTCGTGGAGTTCTTGGCCGGGCTTGGTGGGGGCGCGGGGCGTGGGGGAGGGGTTGGGCTCCGGATTGCTGGAGTGTTTCGGAGCGTCGACAGGGCAGAGTATGCGGCGGAGGTGCACATCCGATCGCGGGCAGGGCTTCAGGAGGCGTTTCGGGGCTGAGGGTGTTTCGGCTGTTCCTTGCTGGGAGTGTTTCTGCAACATCGCTATCAATTCATGTCTGCCGCACCACTCGCCGGGTGCGGGAGCTGGCCCGGGAGGACAGTGTTGTGTGCGCATGCAGTGTTAGCCCTGTGGTGGAGTTCTTGGCGTGGGGGAGGGGCTGGGCTCTGGATTGCTGGAGTTTCTGAGCGTCGACAGGGCATGGAGTTCTTGGCCGGGCTTGGTGGGGGCGCGGGGCGTGGGGGAGGGGCTGGGCTCCGGATTGCTGGAGTGTTTCTGAGCGTCGACAGGGCATGGAGTTCTTGGCCGGGCTTGGTGGGGCCCGGGATGTGGGGGAGGGGCTGGGCTCGGGATTGCTGGAGTGAGTCTGTAAGTTTGCTGTCAGTTCTTTTTTGCAGCGATGACCTTCGACTTGCAGGACAAACAGCTCACGGCCAGGCCCTCGGAGGATACCGGTTGTGCATTCCTTTGTTGTCCTTGTTGTCGGAGGCTGTGCATTCTTCGGGGCGTCTGGTTTATTTTGTTCGCATCTGTTTTGAAAAGTTGCCGAGCCACAAATGAAGTTTGAGGATGTCGAGGAGTTTGAGCCGACGGGCAATGCGTTCCAAGTGAGAGGAGCCTTCGCTAATGCCGCGACCTTAGCTGCGCCACTGAATCGATTGCCTCAGTGCGTTTCTGTGTTTATGAGTGGTTCTCAGCGCTTTTGGTGAGCGATGTCAGGTGGATGACCTGAAGAAGGCCCTGTGCTTTCAACTTGAGCTTGGATTTAGCTCGGGAGTTGTTTGCAGAAGGGCGATGACAAAGATTGTAGTCTTGAGTGTCCATGCGGAATTGAGCTTTCATTTTCCACTGAACCGTTGCTGAGCCTTGCTTGAGGCTATCAAGACCGAGAACCCAAAGACCGTGACGTGCGATGCGTTCCAACTGGATATATACAGCCAGCAGGAGAGCATTTCACGTCAAATCCGCTCTGCCACGTAGGACCTATAGGCCTCCCTGTGCCGCATCTCAGCTTGACTTTGCAGGATGGGGACTGGGTGAAGGAAAAAACGATGTCAGCAAGTCTGCGCGACACAACTGAGCCCAGCACTTGGTTTCGATGACATTTCAGCTTAGGCGTTTTTGCCGTCGCCCCGCTCGCAGGGAAGATTGCTACGGATTCGTGCTGCCACAAAAGACGGACGATGTGTAAGCTGCATGCCTGTGCCTCAGCAGCGCTGGAGTTTGAGCGCTATGAACTTGCATCCTCGTCGTCGTGTGAGCTTCTCGGCTGAGGTAGCAGCAGCATTCACCGACGCTTTTTTTTGCGCTGCGGCTTCGCTTGACTTCCAGGATTAGCAGTCAGCAGTTCGACGCTCACATTTCTTGACGCCGTTCAAGTTTTCAAGTCAAGCGGTGCATGCAACGGGTACAGGACCAGCGACAGATGCCAGCTGGTCAGAAGCAGTTTCACCAAGGGCTCTTAGTCGTGCTTGAGTGCACAGCGGAGCAGCACACGAGTCCGCAGTCAAGCTGAGCCCGGAAGATCCCCCCCTCCTTGCGTGGTTACTTGGGTTATTTAGCTATAGAGTCAGACCGCAACATCAGATTTAGATACCTAGGGGACCTCCCCGCGAAATTAGGGTCGGTTCGATTCGGTGCATACAGGTGTTTAAAAGTCCTTTTCGATTTTTTTGAGTCGGTTTTACAAGCAACATCATTTCAAATAGATACAACCTATCCCTGCTAGGAGACCCTAAATTCGCGCAAAGGGGCGTGAGTGGGGCAAGGAGGGAGACCGGGGGGCATAGGCCCGGTTAGGCAGCCTCGGAAGATCCCTGTGCACAGAAGGCCGCGGAGTGCAAGTTGTCGTTCTGTGTGCGCAGCATGATTGATGGCTGAGTGTTTCTTGCCGGACTCTTTGTTTACTGGCCCCGGCGGGGGGGTGGGGCGGACCGGCCCCCGATGCCGAAGACGAGGCCGCTCGCTGTTGAACCCATGGTTGTTTTTTGTTTTCTCGAAGCAGCTCTTGCGCAGGCCCATCCGAGCCGCTGCCGGCCCCGATGCCGAAGACGAGGCCGCTCGCTGTTGAACCCGTTGTTTTTTTGTTTTCTCGAAGCAGCTCTTGCGCAGGCCCATCCGAACCGCCGCGGCCAGTGGGTTCCCCCGGTTGTCCCTAACTCCCGAACCCCTGGAGCCCGAACTCCTAGAACCCTAGTCCCCACTAGGCTGCCTTGCGAGTGCCTTTCCGTGCGTTTTTTTTGGGGTACTAGTCCCAGTGCCTTGCGTTTTTTTTTTTCCGGGTACCTTAACTCCCGAACCCCTTGGAGCCCGAACCCCTAGAACCTAGAACCCTTCCCTGCGAGCACAGTGTGTGTAGGGTTCGCCGGCTAGGGGTTGTCCTCGGTTTAGGTAGGGCCGGTCTAGTTTTTTTTTGGGGGTGCCTTCCCGCACCCTAGCCCTAACCTCGTTTTTTTTTCTCGCCGATGCTCTCGATGCCTGTGCTCTGGATGCTCGCCGATGCTCTCGATGCCTGTGCTCTGGATGCTCGCCGATGCTCTCGATGCCGGTGCTCTGGATGCTCGCCGATGCTCTCGATGCCGGTGCTCTGGATGCTCGCCGATGCTCTCGATGCCGGTGCTCTGGATGCTCGCCGATGCTCTCGATGCCGGTGCTCTGGATGCTCGCCGATGCTCTCGATGCTGCGGTGCTCGATGCTCTCGATGCTCGCCGATGCTCTCGATGCCGGTGCTCTGGATGCTCGCCGATGCTCTCAATGCCGGTGCTCTGGATGCTCGCCGATGCTCTCGATGCCGGTGCTCTGGATGCTCGCCGATGCTCTCGATGCCGGTGCTCTGGATGCTCGCCGATGCTCTCGATGCCGGTGCTCTGGAGGCGTCGCCGCACTAGGGTGAGACAGCTGAGACAGCTGAGACAAGAGGCCAAATAGACTAAAGCTGTCTCAGGGCTGTCTCAGGTGTCTCAGGCTCGTTTTGGGAGTTCTTTTACGAAAACAATGGCCCGCGACAACTTGAGACAAATGAGACAGGCTTGAGACAGCCTTAGTCTATTTAGACTCTTGTCTCAGCTGTGTCAGCTGTCTCAGCTGTTTCGGAGGGCCCGGCCAACCTGGATGCTCGGATGGTTCGCCGATGCTCTGGAGGCGTCGCCGCATCAGGCTGAAACACCTGAGACAGATGAGACAAGAGGCTGAATAGACTAAAGCTGTCTCAAGGCTGTTTCAGATGTCTCAGGCTTGGTTTTAGCCCTGAGACAGCTTAGTCATGCTAGACTCTTGTCTCAGCTGTCTCAGCTGCCTGGACCCTGCCCTCACCCCCGTGAGGCTGCCAGACAAGAGATGAGACAGCTGAGACAGCCCTGAGACATCTTTAGTCTATTTAGACTCTTGTCTCAGCTGTCTCAGCTGTCTCAGCCGGGTGGCGCCGGAAGCGCATGCTTCAGCAGGGTCTCCGAGCTGTCGGTGGCCCGCACGGCCATCGAGTCGTAGGACCCCACTTCCCGCACCGCCCCGTGCTGGGGCTGGAAGGATCTCTGGGCATTGGTGGGGGCCCGGAACGCCCCCGCCTCCTCCAACCGCCGCTGGCAGCTCCTCGTCAGAATTTTGGGCGTTGTCTTGATAGACCCGGAAGGTCGCGGCCGGCATCGTCGTCTCCACATCTTCCGGCGCCACTGCAGGCTTCCGCAGTGATCCCCCCACCCGCCGCCCTCCCGGGCCACCTTGCCAGATCCTTCTTCAGCGCTTGAATGGCTCTATCCACCACTGCCGTCGTGTTGCGGTCTGAGGGGTCCTTATGCCGATGCACCACGCCCCCCGGCAGTGCCGCCTCGAGGCCCCGGAAATCGTTCCCCAGATCCGTGGTGATGGCAATGGCATAATTCGATGATTCGTCCTTCACCAGCTCGGGGATGATCTCCGCCGCCGCCCGGTAACCGTTTCGGCCCGCTTGTCGGGCAATGCCTTCGTCGCCACCTCACCAAGCCAAACTTATTGGCCCCCCGCGTGTTCTGGCTCATATCAACTAGGTCGGCTTGCAGCCGATCGTTCGGCCCCTCCGCCGCCGACCGGCCCAAGCTCCGGGGCTTCGGTGCAAGCACCTGCCTCGCCACGTCGCCGCGCAATGCCGCCCACCGCTCCGGGAATTCGCGCCGGCTATCTGAAAGATTGCGGGGATCCCGCACAGTGAAGTTCCGGGCTGCGTCGAAAACCCGGCACGGCTCGCAAGTTCGTCTTGAGGCTCTCGTCCGAGAGATTCTGGAAGCCGTAGTCACTACCTCCTCCTAAATTGGATTCTATGAGCAAGTTTGCCGGCCCGCTGCTGGTGTTAAGAGAGATTGTTTGGTCCAGCGCGTTCAGCTGGCAGGAGGCCAGGGGTGGTGGCTGGCGGGAGCTCTTTTTCAGTCGGGCACCTCCACTCGCTGCGACCGCCGTGCCACTACCTAGAGCCTCCCCCCACAACAGTAGCTCATCGGCCCTAAGGCCCCGGCTCAGCGTGCCCCTCGGACGGACGGACGGAGCGGGTAGAGGGAGACAGCGAGACAGGCGAGACAGATGAGAAAAGGCTAAATAGACCAAGACTGTCTCAAACCTGTCTCATCTGTCTCGCGCTGTTTGTTGAAGTGATTTTTGCTCTCTCTGGGGAGGGTGTTCCAGCTCTCCACTCTGTGTTAACTACGAGGCTCCTGTCAGGACACCGGCTAGAATTCGGTACTTTGACGGCTTGTCGATTTTGAGCCCTAGAGGCTGCAGGGCTAGGAATCCTAGGGGCTCCAAAGTGCTTGCAAAGAGCGCGAGCGGTGGTTCGCGGGCTGCAAGAGAGCGCATGTCGCGCTCCCAACCTGCCGGAAATCCAGGCTTGCCTGGTTCAGGAGCCTGCCGGGGATAGAGGCCTGCGAGGGATCGACGCCGACTGCTTGGAAGGCCGGCTGGTAAGCTGTTCGGACGGTAGGCCGGTACGCGGTAAGCTGTTCGGTAGGCTGGTGAGCTGTTCGGACAGTCGGCTGGTGAGCTGCTCGTAGGCTGCTCGTCGGAAGCTCGTAGGCAGCTCGCAGGCCGCTCGCATGCGGCTGCGCGCGAAAAGCCCCGTTAAACCCCGTTTTGCAAGCACTTTAGAGCCCCTAAGATCGCTCGAGCTGCGGGCCGCAGGCCCGTGAATCGACAGTGCTCCGAAGTACCGAATTCTGACCTATGTCTCAAACCTAGGCCTGTAGCTGACATAGAGGGGAGCGCTGGAACAACCTCCCCAGAGAGAGAAAATCGACCAAACCCCGCGCGAGACAGATGAGACAGGCTTGAGACAGGTTTAGTCTGTTTAGACTCTTGTCTCAGCTGTCTCGCCTGTCTCGCCTGTCTCCCGGCCCTCCAGCTCCAGCGCTCTTGGTGAGGGAGCGGAAAGCCCGCCTCTCTCAGTGCTTCTCGGTGCTGCTCGGTCGAGCGAGCGTAGGCTTGCAGAACATAAGCTGCGAGCGCCCACATGCTGCCGTGGTGTGGCTCCACCATGTGATAGCGGCGAGCATCGAAGCTGACGGGCTTGTCGTGTATGTCCAGCCATCGTCCCCGCAGTTCCCGGTCGCCCTTCTTGCCGGCCAGCAAGGCCGTGGAGTCTCCCTCCCACACCCGCCCTCCCGTGTATTCGCCGAGAGCCAGCGCGCGAATTCTCTTTTCGAGCAGGGATTTCGGCGTGTCCCCCACCTAGGTTTTGGGCACGATTTCGGCCGAATCGCACCTTCCCGGTCGACTCGGTGCCGAAATTTGGGGCCGTGGGCTTGTGGGCAGGACAGAGCCTGGTGAGACAAGCGAGACAACGAGACAAAGCAGTTCTCGCAATGTCTCGCTTGTCTCCCTCGTCTTTCTGGGAGGCCGGGCTGGTAAAACAGAATTTGTTTTGCTTGTCTCGCTCGTCTGTCTGGGGGGTTCGGGCTGGTAGAATCAGAAGAGAGTTTGTCTCAACGTCCCGCTTGTCTCTCGTCTCTCTGGGGGTCCCGGGCTGGTAGAAGGGAGTTTGTCTCACTGTCTCGCTTGTCTCGCCCCTCTTTTGGGTGGCGGGCGGCAGAGGGGGTTTTGGAGCGGCGGCATGTTCATGGCAGTAGTCTCGTTGGGCTCGCCGACTTTCGCAGTACCAGTTTGTTTGAGTGCTTTCGTCTGTTTGTGTTTTTGGGTGTGGTTTTTGGTTCACGGAACCCTAACCGCCCTTCGTCCCCGGTTTGATCCACGGCTGCCCTGCGAGTGCCTTGTCACCCCCACCCCCGTAGTTCTTTCCCGATCGGCCATGCATGTAAAGTTACGGTCCCCGCCGCCGCGAGCCGAGCATGGTCCGTCGAGCATCGTCCGAGCTGAGCGCTTGTCGAGCCCCCGCATCGTCGATCCGAGCGTGCCGCCCGTCCGAGCCGTCGCTCGCGCTGACAAGACGCACGCAGGGCACTTGGCATGCCGTCCTGTTGACATCCAGAGCACGCAGCATGCGGCTGCCGAAACCGGCTGAGGGGTTCGGGGCTTCAGGGGTTGCTGGGTGGGAGACCTCTGAAGCTCGAGTTTTTGCCGCTTGGCAGACCTGGCACCTTGCCTCTAAACCTCCTCTTGAAGAAAAGCATTTTAACTACTGGCAGTTGTTTCCCATGCATTCGAAATCAAAGCTCAAATGTGCGCGCTGTCAGTTTCCGCAAATCGTGGCGTTTTGTTTCATGGGGTTCGCAGTGTACGTGGTCATTTGGCACACTTAGCCCATTTTTGAGTCAAAGGGCTACTCATCAGCACAAGATATCCACAGGTCGCTAGACTGGACTAGACGGGAAGGCCTTCCGAGTCTGCGCTCTGTCCAGGATGCCCTAAACCCTTGGTACCCCAATACTCTAAACCATCTAAACCGTTTAGAGTTTTGGCTGAGCAACTTTCGCGCCATGGTTTGGAACCGCATTGCGCTTGTCAGTCTGCTGCTCGTCGTGCTTGCCGCTGGCCAGTGCGACGAAGGCACCTGCCAAAGCCTCCGTCCATATTTCAACTGCCAGTTCGACTTCGACAGCGGAGCTGCTGGTGCGGGGAACACAATCGCATTCGCCGCTTGCACAGACATTGGCGACGTTGTCGTGCGGGTCGGATTTGTGCGCGACAGCCACTTCGAGCGCTATTATGTCAACGCTTGGCATGTGCTGAAGCCACATGTAGGGGAGGACCGTACCTTCTATCTGCCGAATCACCTCGATCACTTGCCTGCTGAAGAAAGGTTTGTGGAAACAGTGTTCCTGGCAGGGTTGTGGTCGGCATTGAGATCGCGGCCGCTCAGACCAATCCACCTCAAGCGGGACGTCCACAGCGAACTCTTGTGGCGTGAAAATCTCAGGCGATCCGTCGGATGGGTGTTTGAAATCGTGGGACCTGCAGCGTCATGCATGTATTGCTTCAACGACACGGCAGTGGTAAGTTACCTTCCTTTATGCAACCGCCAACCGGGCGATGCAGCAGGACAGTGCCGCCCTGCCAAAAGAGCGCGGCTTCCCTTTGCGCTGGAAGTGGAGGTCATGACTCGAGCAAGGCCCGTAGGCCCGTCGATCCCGCAAATGACCATCTCGCAGTTGCTGGTTCTTCTGACTGGCTACACCATGGACCTGCAAAAGATGACATACCTTGGATTTTTGCACGACAACCATTTGGGGAACCTTCTTCTGGTCGGAACGGGTCAGGCTCAGAGCCAGATGGCCTGGCATGACTTTGGTGCTAGAAGCTACTTCCAAAACGCCACGAAAGAACAGTTCGAAAGCTTCAGAGAGCACTTCGACATGTGCTACGACACTGTGATTGAACATCTCAAGACTCGCCCCGGCACGGACGGCCTCATTGCCGAGTTGGGCCAAATCAAGTCAGAGTGGAGCTTGAAAGGGATTGTCCTTGTGCGTGGCGTATCAGACGCACTGGCCACGCTCGCAGAGAAGTTGCAGCAGGCGATCATGCAATGGGCCGACGGCAGCATCGACATCCGGCGTTCGGTGCTGCGAGCATGGAGCCGAGCATTGACACCAACAAGATCTGAGGAACTTCGTGATTTTCTGGAGCGAGGTGGGCCTCACCCGGCTCGTTATCATTCACCTTTAAATGTGTATTTGTACGCATTCTGCGGGGCTCTGCAGGCGCTACCTCGGCGCCGTCCACTGTCTAGACAGCAAGGAAAGTGCTGCGTGTGAGAGCAAATGTCGGGCACGGAATCACGGAATCTGCTCGCTGTTGGGAGTAACTGCACAAATGAAGTTCGAGGATGGCAAGGAGTTTGAGCCGACGGGCAATGCGTTCCAAGTGAGAGGAGCCTTCGCTAATGCCGCGACCTTAGCTGCGCCACTGAATCGATTGCCTCAGTGCGTTTCTGTGTTTATGAGTGGTTCTCAGCGCTTTTGGTGAGCGATGTCAGGTGGATGACCTGAAGAAGGCCCTGTGCTTTCAACTTGAGCTTGGATTTAGCTCGGGAGTTGTTTGCAGAAGGGCGATGACAAAGATTGTAGTTTTGAGTGTCCATGCGGAATTGAGCTTTCATTTTCCACTGAACCGTTGCTGAGCCTTGCTTGAGGCTATCAAGACCGAGAACCCAAAGACCGTGACGTGCGATGCGTTCCAACTGGATATATACAGCCAGCAGGAGAGCATTTCACGTCAAATCCGCTCTGCCACGTAGGACCTATAGGCCTCCCTGTGCCGCATCTCAGCTTGACTTTGCAGGATGGGGACTGGGTGAAGGAAAAAACGATGTCAGCAAGTCTGCGCGACACAACTGAGCCCAGCACTTGGTTTCGATGACATTTCAGCTTAGGCGTTTTTGCCGTCGCCCCGCTCGCAGGGAAGATTGCTACGGATTCGTGCTGCCACAAAAGACGGACGATGTGTAAGCTGCATGCCTGTGCCTCAGCAGCGCTGGAGTTTGAGCGCTGTGAACTTGCATCCTCGTCGTCGTGTGAGCTTCTCGGCTGAGGTAGCAGCAGCATTCACCGACGCTTTTTTTTGCGCTGCGGCTTCGCTTGACTTCCAGGATTAGCAGTCAGCAGTTCGACGCTCACATTTCTTGACGCCGTTGAAGTTTTCAAGTCAAGCGGTGCATGCAACGGGTACAGGACCAGCGACAGATGCCAGCTGGTCAGAAGCAGTTTCACCAAGGGCTCTTAGTCGTGCTTGAGTGCACAGGGGAGCAGCACACGAGTCCGCAGTCAAGCTGAGCCCGGAAGATCCCCCCTCCTTGCGTGGTTACTTGGGTTATTTAGCTATAGAGTCAGACCACATCAGATTTAGATACCTAGGGGACCTCCCCGCGAAATTAGGGTCGGTTCGATTCGGTGCATACAGGTGTTTAAAAGTCCTTTTCTATTTTTTAGAGTCGGTTTTACAAGCAACATCATTTCAAATAGATACAACCTATCCCTGCTAGGAGACCCTAAATTCACGCAAAGGGGCGTGAGTGGGGCAAGGAGGGAGACCGGGGGGCATAGGCCCGGTTAGGCAGCCTCGGAAGATCCCAGTGCACAGGGGGCGCCGAGTGCAAAAAAAAGCATCGAAGGCCGCGGAGTGCAAGTTGTCGTTCTGTGTGCGCAGCATGATTGATGGCTGAGTGTTTCTTGCCGGACTCTTTGTTTGCTGGCCCCGGCGGGGGGGCGGGACCGGCCCCCGATGCCGAAGACGAGGCCGCTGGAGTCATCGCTGTTGAACCCATGGTTTTTTTCTCGAAGCAGCTGTTGCCGCGGCCCGCAGAGTGGGTCCCTCCCGGTTCCCTAAGTCCAGAACCCTCGGATCCCGAACCCCCTAGAACCCAGCCCCACTAGACTGCCCTGCGAGTGCCCTTCCGCGTGTGTGTTTTTCTTGGTTGTCCCTAAGTCCCGAACCCTCGGACCCCGAACCCCCCCTAGAACCCTAGCCGCGAGTGCCCTTCTGCGTGCGTGTTTTGCTTGGTTGTCCCACTAGGCTGCCCTGCGAGTGCCCTTCCGCGTGTGTGCTTTTCCCGGTTGTCCCTAAGTCTCGAACCCTCGGATCCCGAACCCCCTAGAACCCTGGCCCCACTAGGCTGCCCCGAGTTGTCCCTGCGCGCACAGTGTGTGTAGGGTTACCGGCTAGTGGGTGCCCCCCGGTTTAGGTAGGGCCGGTCTAGTTCCTTTTTTTTTTTGGTTTGCCTTCCCGCACCCTAGTTGATGCTCTGGACGCTCGCCGGTGCTCTCGATGCTGGTGCTCTGGTCGCCGATGCTCTCGGTGCTGGTGCTGTGGACGCTCGCCGAAGCTCTCGATGCTGGTGCTCTGGACGCTCGCCGATGCTCGATGCCGATGCTCTGGAGGCGTCGCCGCACTAGGGCGAGACAGGCGAGACAGCTGAGACAAGAGTCTAAATAGACCAAAGCTGTCTCAGAGGTGTCTCAGGCGTCTCAGGCTAGTTTGGGGCATTTTTTTCGGGAAAAATGGCTTGAGACAGCTGAGACAGCCCTGAGACAGCTCTAGTCTATTTAGACTCTTGTCTCAACTGTCTCGCCTGGCTCAGCTGCCCCCTCGCCGAAGCTCTCGATGCTGGTGCTCTGGACGCTCGCCGATGCTCGATGCCGATGCTCTGGAGGCGTCGCCGCACTAGGGCGAGACAGGCGAGACAGCTGAGACAAGAGTCTAAATAGACCAAAGCTGTCTCAGAGGTGTCTCAGGCGTCTCAGGCTAGTTTTGGGCATTTTTTTCGGGAAAAATGGATTGAGACAGCTGAGACAGCCCTGAGACAGCTCTAGTCTATTTAGACTCTTGTCTCAACTGTCTCGCCTGTCTCAGCTGCCCCCTCGCCGAAGCTCTCGATGCTGGTGCTCTGGACGCTCGCCGATGCTCGATGCCGATGCTCTGGAGGCGTCGCCGCACTAGGGCGAGACAGCTGAGACAAGAGTCTAAATAGACCAAAGCTGTCTCAGAGGTGTCTCAGGCGTCTCCTCAGGCTAGTTTTGGGCATTTTTTCGGGCAAAATGGCTTGAGACAGCTGAGACAGCCCTGAGACAGCTCTAGTCTATTTAGACTCTTGTCTCAACTGTCTCGCCTGTCTCAGCTGCCCCCTCGCCGAAGCTCTCGATGCTGGTGCTCTGGACGCTCGCCGATGCTCGATGCCGATGCTCTGGAGGCGTCGCCGCACTAGGGCGAGACAGCTGAGACAAGAGTCTAAATAGACCAAAGCTGTCTCAGAGGTGTCTCAGGCGTCTCCTCAGGCTAGTTTTGGGCATTTTTTCGGGCAAAATGGCTTGAGACAGCTGAGACAGCCCTGAGACAGCTCTAGTCTATTTAGACTCTTGTCTCAACTGTCTCGCCTGTCTCAGCTGCCTCCTCGCCGAAGCTCTCGATGCTGGTGCTCTGGACGCTCGCCGATGCTCGATGCCGATGCTCTGGAGGCGTCGCCGCACTAGGGCGAGACAGGCGAGACAGCTGAGACAAGAGTCTAAATAGACCAAAGCTGTCTCAGAGGTGTCTCAGGCGTCTCAGGCTAGTTTTGGGCATTTTTTTCGGGAAAAATGGCTTGAGACAGCTGAGACAGCCCTGAGACAGCTTTAGTCTATTTAGACTCTTGTCTCAACTGTCTCGCCTGTCTCAGCTGCCCCCTCGCCGAAGCTCTCGATGCTGGTGCTCTGGACGCTCGCCGATGCTCGATGCCGATGCTCTGGAGGCGTCGCCGCACTAGGGCGAGACAGGCGAGACAGCTGAGACAAGAGTCTAAATAGACCAAAGCTGTCTCAGAGGTGTCTCAGGCGTCTCAGGCTAGTTTTGGGCATTTTTTTCGGGAAAAATGGCTTGAGACAGCTGAGACAGCCCTGAGACAGCTGTAGTCTATTTAGACTCTTGTCTCAACTGTCTCGCCTGTCTCAGCTGCCCCCTACCCCCTTGTCGACACCCCTTCTCCCCGCAGACAAGAGATGAGACAACTGAGACAGCCCTGAGACAGCTTTAGTCTATTTAGCCTCTTGTTTCACCTGTCTCAGATGTCTCAGCCGGGTGGCGCCGTGGGTCCGGGATTGGAATCTCTAAGCTGCCGCACCGCCAGTGGCGCCGGTCGCCTCGTCAGCCGAGCCACGGGCTCCCCGGAGCCGCGGGGCACCGGGAGCGCATGCTTCAGCAGAGTCTCTGAGCCATCCGTGGCTCGCACCGTCATCGAGTCGTAGCTCGAAACCTGCCGCACCGCCCCGTACTGGAGCTGGAAGGACCTCTGGGCATTGGTGGCCCGCCTCCTCGAGCCGGCGCTGACGGATGGTCGTCAGGTGGTCGTTGTGCTTGAATTTTTGGGCATTGTCCTGGTAGACCCTGAAAGTCGCGGCCGGCATCGTCTCGACGTTCTCCGGCGCCACCGTAACCGCCTGCCGGGCGTTGTAGGCTTCGCTCACCTTGTCGATGTGCTCCCCCCTTCCCTCCCCCTGTCCCTGCCTGCGTGTGAAGTCAAACTCAGCCCGCAGAATTTTGGGGTGAAGGTGGTTGATTTCGCTGACCGGGCACTCATGTTACGGCGTTGTACTGATGGCGAAGCATTTCGCGTCTGTTTGACACCCATGCTGGCAGTGTCCGTCGCACTAGCCCAGTTTTGCGACCCAGTTCTGCGCCTACCTGAAGGGCAAGTTTTCGACCTATCCTGGTATGAGCTCGCTCGGCCGGAGATTTGGTGGTGGCTGCTCTTGGATGAGCTTGCTGGACTCAAAGGGTCGCTCCCCTGTGCCTTGGAAGGACGGAAGTCTCCAGTTCGGGACGGCAGTTTGGTGCAAATGTCCGTGGCTCCCAAGCGAGGGCACCTGCCGGCAGGCAGCCGAAACGTTGACCCGAACCAAGGGACCCCTCTGCTTCACTGTGGTGTGTTATTGCCAGTGCAGCTGCTGCTTTATCTCGCACGGGCACTAGCAGACGACCCTGCGGCTGCCCCACTTTTGCAGCTCACCAACATTACTCCGACTCGTGACGGTCAGCACATTGAGGTGCGAGTCAGATGCGAGGTGCCGGCTACCCTGGTGGGCCAGCCCCAAATTGCCATTGCTGACCGGCTGATGACGTGTTTCGAGAGTGGACTCCTTCCAGCCAGACGCGGCGAGTTCGATCCGCGAATGTTTACGTATCCGGGAGCGTATCGGGGCACTTTTCGTCTGCTCTTTCCGCTTGCGGACATCCCACTGGGTCTACAAGCACAGCCCTCTCTTTCGATTCAGGCCGCGGGCCTATTGAATAGTGCATTGTGGCGCCTACGTGCTGCTGCTACCTCTGATGGATGGGATCTCCGGGCGGTAGTGGCTTATTGGATACGGGGGCCACAAAAAAAGGACTTTTACTTTCCAGTCCGCTTATGGCGCTTCGCGCATTTCGACGCGGTTGACTCGAAGGCGATGGTCCTCCTTCACCGGTTGGTCGCCCGGGAGGAGAATCAGGCGCAGGAGCTGCCGGGTGGCGAGCGTCCCTGGGTCAGGTTGGGGCATCCCTGGGCGCAGGAAAGCTGGAAGGCAGCGGCAGATGAGTTCCTCAGGGAAGGGGGCCTCGGACCTGGCCTCCAACTTCCATGTATATCCACCGATCTAATGCCACATCTGCATGCCCCCGACTAGGATACTCACCAATACACATTCCGAAGAGTGACGGAAATCTATCGTGAGGGAAATTACCAGTTGCTCTATCTCTTGCATGAGCGCCATTTTCCTTCGAGCGGTCGTGACATGCAGCGCCTACTCGATAGCTGGCCGCGCTCAGCGGCGGCTGGCTCTTCTAGTTGACAGTCAGTCTCCATCAGCCGCTCTTGTGACCGACGACATACGTCGTTGCTCCTGTTTCCATCTCTCGAGCGAGCAGCAATTGGGTTTTCCTCGGCCTCAGCGATGCTTAGCCGAGGTCGGGCTCAACCTGCGTGGGCAGGCAGGCCCTCGCCACCATTTCGATGCACCCCCTGTTCGGAAGCCGACCACCTTACCAGTGGGCTTTGGAATTTGGGATCGGGGTGACCTGGTTGTGACGGAACAATGGGATTTGGCGATTCATCTCTGTCTGTGATCCCTTTCCCCCTGTGGGAGCCGTTGCGACCGACGACATACGTCGTTGAGTCTATTGTCACCCTCCATGTCACTCATGCAGGAACCCAAGTTGATGCTTCACAACCTTGAGCTCGGACCTGGGCGCTCGTGTGCACGTCCGAGACCGGGGGGCCACGGCTTACGTGGTCCTGGCCGTTGGTTTGCTCTCCTCGGCGGACATCGAACCGTCGTTGTCACGTTCGCCTAGGCCCTGGCTGCGCTACGTGGGGTCATCGGTCCTTCTTTGAGGGGCGGATCCGCTGGGCGTGGGTGCGGCTCCGTTCTGATGTCCACGAGCGGAGAACGCCACCCCCCAGGGCGCCGGAAAAGGCACGGCTAGACTGTGGGCTTGTGTGGCGGGCTCGGTGGCCACGTCACTGGGGCTCGGACGTCCTACTCCTGCCGGTTTGCCCTCACGCGCCTTCGGCCACATGCGTGCTGTGTGCTCCTAAGTTCGCCGCCTGCCTGCGACATACGTCGCTCGCCATTTCACCTGTCCATCGTGTTAGTCCCTACCTCCGAATGGTGTCTTCAATTGCTGCCATGGCCGCCACAACGGTTTGAAGATGCTGTGGAAGCGTGTGACCTGCTCGTCAATGTACGCCTTGGCGATCTCTGCCTGTCTTAGCGGCTGACCCAGTGTTCTACCTCACGGCTATAAGGACATTGATCTGATTCTGCTGGCAGCGGCGACCCTGCGTACTAGCGTGTCGTGGTCGAGCAACTTTCTCACTGGTAGGAAGCCGGCAGTACGACCGTGAGGGCGTCAGGCGATTGCACGCCAAGGGTTGATTGGTTTTGTCCCCTTGGTGCGTATGTCCAATGACGACGGTTGCGTGAGCGGGTTGCTTACCTGCGGCACTGTCTTCGCACTCCTTTTCTGGAAGCCACCCACGCACGCAGTGGGCCTTGGACTTTTGGATTTTGGTGTGCACGACCGTGACGGAACAAAACACAGGGGTTGTCCGTTGTCTGGCGAGACTAGAACGGCAGCCGGGGCCTGGACTTGGCTCCACCTGTTGTTTTGGGCAGCTCTGAGCGACGGCTCTTTGTTGCTCCTGACCGGTCGCTGAGGCTCCGTAGCTTGTGCTGAACGGCTAACACCGGCAAAGCCTGTGCACCGCAGCCCCTTGTAGAGCTTCGCTTTTGTTTCACCGCTTTGTAGTCGTTTGATGTTTGGATTGTCGTTTCGCTTGTTTGTAGGGACCGAGTGCTACAGCCGTAGTCGACGAGGCCCAGTCAAGCCAAAAAAAACTCCATCCACCACCGCCCTGTTCTAACGGGACTCGCTAGCAGCACTGCAACCACAGATGGCCCGATACGCAAACAATACAGAGAGCTATTCTCCACGAGTGGCGGCACAAGGCGGGTGCTCCTCCACCGCCAAACCCGACGGCGGAAGCACATATCAACCACCTACGCCACATTCTGCCGTCGCAGGTCGACTGTGACACGCTCCTGTCCCTACCAATGTCCTTGACAGCGTTGACCAGTTCGGCTTCGCCATTTGCAGCTTTGCGGACAGGGCCATGCGGATGAGATGCTGCTCTGAGGAGGAGGAGGCCTGGCGACTTTGTGTCAATCCTTTAATAGCCATCAGTGCGGCCCTAGCTGAACTGTGCGAACCTCTGCAGCACTTGACCGTGGTTGACAGATGCGTCGTATGGATTCCTGCGTGATCGGAGCTGAGGCACGGCAACCAAGCTATCGCACTTATGACAGCGCTGGGATCACAATGCAGCACCATTCTCATCACAACTACTGTAGAAGCATGAACAGCGTCTAATAGTGTCTCTTAGGGTCCGGAGACCATGTGCATTCTTGTTCAGGAACCCCACCTGACCGCAGCACCTACGACGCAACTGTACTCGGAGCTACTGCGGGACATAGTTACAGTTGCTGAGGTGAGAGTGGCCCAGCCGCTCATTTGCTCACCTTCGAACATCTTTGTCGTATGCGTGTATGGCTACGTGCCACGATTTCTTACTCCTGTTGGAGTTGGTGCCTTTTTAGTTGGACGAATTCGCAACAGACTCATGCACTCAATGAATGGCAATGGTAGGTTCTCGTTCTGGCAAGGGGTCTGGAAAGCAACTTCCGATGTCTTCCCAAGCCAAGGGCCGAGGCAAGCAGGAGCCTCCCGAAGTGGACGCCATGCAGATTTCGGATCCTTGGGCTCAGTACTCAGGAGGGGCAGCCGCAGTGGGCTCAGGTACCGATGCCGTCAGCCTTACGTAGATGCAGCAGAGCGTACGCATGTCATACACCGACAATGTGGAGGACCGCCGACTTCGATAGCTGGTGCATGCAAGTCTTCCGCAACATGTTGTGCGTCACAATCGTACAAAGTTAGTTCAATCGGAGTGGTCGTGCACAGTGCGAGCCGCCGAAGAGCTGTCTCGACAGGGTGGCATCGCTTTGGTGCCCAAGTCCTTAGTGCCACAGGTGTTGGCGAACGTCGGCACCACGATGCAACCAGTGGCTATGCTGACCTCTCAACCTGCTTGGGAGCTGCACCTCAAGGGTTACAACTCCACACAAGTCACGTGCACACTCCAGACGGTCGGCGAACAGGGTGCTGTGGTGTACGTGGAAAGCCAGAGATGGTTGACGCAGTTAGGCGAAGGCAAGCCGGTGACCATGGAAACCGATGGTTTGACTGTGGTAGACGAATGCATCACCATGGCCAAGATGACTCTGAATTTCGACACAGCAGAGGGCTGGAAACACATTCGAGCCGGGAACGTTTCGGATTACCTCCAGTTGTACGTGCCGCCCACCGACTATGGTCAGATCATAGTGAGAGAGAATGGTTGCACGGCTACAGCCCTTGTTTCCAAGAGTCGAGTCGACGACGTTTTACGCGCGAGTGGCATGCATCACGTCTGGTGCAAACTTCATGCCGACGAGACCGAGCGCAACTTCGAGGTCATCTACCTGCCGTACGGTACCACTTACAAGATCACGATGGACTTCGTCAAGAACCTGAAGGAGAAGTGTTTTGGGGCAGTGAAGAAGACAGGTGGTTCGGAGCCTCGTTTCGGCATCCGCTTTGCGGACGAAGCTGCGATGCAGGCCTTTGCACAAGAACGTGGGCTGGTGGATCAAGTCAAGCTTGGACGATACAAGATCACCGGAGTCTCGCCGCATGTTGGACACAGCGGGTTGAAGACGATGTTGTCCACAGCTCTCAAGTGGGACCTTTACGACGTCCTCTACTTGGCCGAGAACTACGCCGTTGTCTCAGCTGCGAACTGCCCGTCCACCAACAAGATGGCACTGCGCAAGGCTGGCGGGACCACCACCATCATGCATGTGAAGGCCATGAACAGACGTGCACGCGAGGCCTTCAAAGCTGCGAAGATGGAATACCGTACTGCCGATCCCGAAGCAGAAGATCAGCACACAGCCATGGCGATCGACTTCGACAATGCTGCTTGGCACCAGAAGCGAGCGGGGGCAAGCCCGAAGCGCTCGCACCCGTCCGATGGCGCCACGAACGCGCCAACGGCGAGACCGCGGACAGACGCCTAGTTTTCAGACCCACTTTTTGCGTGTCGAGAAGAATTCGCAACAGAGTTATGCGAACTATGCATGGCAACGGCACTTCCGAGTTACCTTTTCTATGGCGGTTTCCAATATTACGGGTGTTCACACGAAGCTCCCACGTGTCGCAATGCATGCTTTGACAAGAATTCACGCTGTGACAGAGACCAAGGCTGATCGCATGACGCAAATCCGAATGGATCAGGAGCTAAATGCGCTCAACGAGATGAATGGCCCAGGCAAGGCGGTGCAAGTTTTGTGGGGCGAGCCAGCTGGCGAGACACGAAGTGGAGGCATTGCTTTGTTTTTGGGTCCTGGAGCCAGCCTTCAGATTTGCGTCGTTATCGGTCTAAGGCAGAAGGTGTCGCTGGCCCTTGTGGCTGGCGTCACACTGAGCTGCGTAAGTTACCGGACAGTCTTTTGCAGCAGCTGATTGACATTTTCATGTTGATGGAACAGCATGGGACCACTTTGAGCGTTAACTGCCAAGGGGATATCTCTTTGATTCCGAAGAAGGCCAATTGCTTTGAAGTGGATACTTTGCGTCCTATCACTGTGTTGAGTTATTTGCACAGAATGTATGCAGGTGCCCGGCTGCGTGCGGGGCTGCTACAATGGCAAGAGGCTGTGCTTGGTGAGCTTCCGCTGCGCGCCAATCGCCCAGGACAGCGTACTCATGATCTGACGCTCACTGCGAGTGTGACGATGGAACACATGAGACATCAACAGCAGTCCATTTCTGCGGTTTCCTACGACCTTAGCAAAGCTTTTGATTCCATGCCTTTTCATGCAGACAACATCAATGGCTTTGGCTGGATGGTTTTGAAGCGTCTGGGCTTTGATCCGCGAGTTACTGCGGTAATGTTTGATCAGTACCGACGCTTACAGCGAAGATTCAAGACATTGCAACATCTTGGACGGCCTGTTGCGGCTACTGGCTTGCGTGGCATTGTCCAGGGCTGTGCCATCAGCATGATCTTTTGTAATTGCATCACGACAGTTTGGGCAGTTCTTCAGTTCTGGCCTTCGACTTCCTCGTGCGTTGCAGTTGCAGGTTGCCTCGCATCCGACGTGGCCTCGCGATCACACTTTCGCGCATGATGACATGGAACTTAGCCAGCCTGACACGACCACTTTGCAGGGCGGGTATGCTGATGATCTGCATGTGATTTCTGGCTCAGCTCCGATGTTCAGACGTGCACATGTGCTTACTGTTCTGTGGGCCATCGTATGTGATGTACGGCTCAATGTGCGCAAGACGGTAGTGTTCGGTGCCATCGTGCTCTACCTGGGACAAGTTGCTCTCGCAGTAGTACGGGAACTTGAGCTTCTGGGACATCGCTTACATCATCATGCTACACTTGCGCATGCTGAGAAGGACCGCCTGGATGAGGCCCACAGACGTTTGGCGAAAGTTGCGCTGGTGCCTGGGAGCAAAGATGACCGAGAGGGCCTCATTTCCACGGTCGTGATGCCTGTCTTGTACGGCCATGAGACAGTACACTATGTGCCACGTGACCTCACCACCCTGCGGTACGCAGTGTGGCAGGCCATACGAGGTGGACGACCTCCTTCGCATGTCATGTCGGTGGAAGTTTACATGACCATGTGTGTGCGTGGCCACAGAGTTGATCCGGTACAGTTCATCGTGGTTGAGCTTGTTGCCAATTGGGCCAGGTTTTTGGGCAGAAACCATGAAGGCATGACCATGTACCGCCTCTGGGACATGCACCGTCGTATGGCAGCTCGCGCTAGCCTTGTTCGGCAAGGCTGTGGCGGCAGCATTTTCCCGGCAGTGACAGAAGATGACGCCACTTTCGTCGGACCCACGGCTATGTTGTATGAGGTGCTTTTGAGCATTGGTTGGAGCTGGCCCAGGCTACATGTTTTTCGCACTCAACAAGGTGATTTCAACTTGCCTTTGAACAGTGATGAACGGCCTCGTTTCAAGCATGTGTTAAGAGAGGCGGTGCGGCTTCGTGAGTTGCGTGGTACGCAGCATGTTCATCGTCGGCACGGTCTACCTCAGCGTCGAGACCTTGAAGGAGTGCAGTCAGACTTGGCTTGGGACTCCAATCTCCGACTTCTGAGACGTCTGCCGCCACACGAGGAAGGAGTGTTGCAAACCATCCTCTGTGGTGGGGTGATGAATCGACATCGCGTTTCTCAGCACGCCAAGCGCGCAGACGTCACAATGCAGTGCCTTATGCCGGGCTGCACGTGTCCTGATGAGACTACTGAGCATCGTTTCTGGCACTGCCCTGCACATGAACACTTGCGAGGCGCAGAGTTTCGTCAGCTGCGGGCGCATTTGCCTCACATGCGCCCTTGCGAAATTAACTGCGGATTGGCTACGACTGCTTTCCCGGTTGGTTTCTCTGTCGAGAAGCTGCAAGATACCATGTTACGCATTGAGCTGCATGCACGCCAGCAGCTTGATGCAGTGAAGCATGGCTACCAGGGCAGTGACCAGAAGGAGGAACAGAGGTTCTACCAGTTCAGCACTGGGACGTCTGGTGTACATGGCCGCAAGGCTCGGAAACGTCCGGCCGCAGCTGGCGCAACGGTGAGGCGCGCTGCTTTGCCACAGCCTCCACAGATGCCACACCCACAAGATCAGCTGCAGTTTACTTTAGATGGCAAGAGGGTTACCTGCCTTCGCTGTACACGCACTGCCTTGCGTTCCCACAGCAGTCGATGGAAGGACTTTTGGCAGGCCGAGTGTGTTGCCATAGTTCCGCAGGGCCGCAATCTTCGTGGTACTGTGGTGGCGCAGGCACGACAGGAGCGCGACCAGAAGGCAGCTAAGGAATGCATGCGCCGCTTTGCGCAGCTACACGGCGTCGATGAGGCAGATTTCTCTTGGAGTGGCAATGTGCAAGCGCCTTTCACTTGCATGCGATGCAGATGTGTCTTTCCGTTTATGCAGGCTCGGCGAGACTGCAACTTGAAGCGTGGACCCTTTTACATACAGATGTGCGAAAGATCTACGGCAGCCAGTGCTCGAGCAGCCGCCAGATTGAGCCAGTATTCACCACATGCGTCGCATGATATTGTGAGGTCACCTGATGGCAACCTTCTGGTTTGCAAGACATGCGGATTTTACCTTGTGGATGTTCCTGACAACAGCAGGTTATGCAATCGGTTGCATTTGTCTCAGCCGTGCAAGCAGCTCACTGATTCGAACCGGCCGTGGGCGGGAATCCAATTTCACGAGGATTGGAAGTGGTACTTCCCTTATCTGCTATGATGCGATTTCCGATGGTCTCTCCTGTTTCTGCTGAACTTTACTTCTGTCGGGTACGGCTTTTGCTCGACTCGCTTTTTGGGAGGAGGGGATGCAGCGCTACCGCCAGCCATATTTTCTTTTCGACCGGAGTTGTGACAGTTTATACGCCCATACACTGAGATGACTTCTTTGGCTTGGCTACCAACCGAAATGTTGTATCAGATGTTTGGCCTTTTTCCTTTCATTTCATGAGATGCTCTGCCATTGATCCATGTGGGTGTTTTGCCACCGTCCCTCGCACCGCCGGCAGCGTCTTCGTGGCACTGTCGTTCAAAGTTCATATCAGGAACCCCACCTGAAATCTGCCACAGCCCTATCCACACGTAGCATCTGCAAAATTGGTTCTTGTACCGGGTGCCGAGCTTAGTCGCTTATAACGGTTGAAGCGATAAGGCATCGAACTCAACTGTCGATCCGTTTCCTCCGGGCACAGGACCAGACTACATTCATCATTACCGTGCCTCGATAGTTCCTCTATAGTTTGATTTTGTTTACCCCGACACCCCAGTTCGAGTTCTGCTGCACGAAAAGTTCACCCTGAACCCTAAACCCCTAAACCTCAAACCCCTACACCCCTAAACTCCTAAACCCTTAAGCCCCTAAACCCGACACCAGAGTCATCTTCTTGGAGAGCGGTCAACACTGTACAACCACGGCCGTGTAGATGGAGGAGGGCGAAAGGATTCCTTTCCTACGTTCGGGACTACCATTTACTTGAACGTTTTCTTCCGGACCTGTTCCGTAAGGGAGCCATTATGAAGCAAAAGTCTATGCTTTTGTCTCCCCAGTGGGTGCGTTAAATACGAAACCTGTGATTTAAGGTTGAATATTCGGGTTCCTTGATTCTGCAACTCACATGTGAATGCTGCTGTAGCCGAGATCCTGGCCTAGCGGATTCACCCATCAGGGTGTTCCTAGATTATTGGTGGCTCACAGCAGTTAAGCGCACAGGTGAGCAAGATTTCTTGGACGAGGGCCCCTTGTCAGGACCCCGCTGGACAGAAGGCTACCAGGTCCCGCGTCGATGGTGGCATCGATATTTTCCTCGGTGAGGTCTCCGAGCAGGCAATCTAGCTTGGAAGACCCAACTCGTGCACGGACAAGAAGAGAGCACTGGAGGAGGCTAGTGCCAGAGAAAAGGGGGCTTGGGCAAGGAGTTGCACTTCTGGATGCTGCCATGCTCGATGTTTGTTGAGGCGTAGAAACTCAGCTCTTTCATGGCTTCTCACTTCTTGCTGCAACTCGGCTCAGCAAGCTGTACAAAGCATACCTTGCCCCATCGAGCTTCCTCGTATGCTTCAAGACTCACCCAACCAAGCACTCATCATGGACCAAGTGCTGAGGAGCATCACTTTATCCTTACAATCATGAGGGCATCTTCCTATCTATCAGGCTTCGGTTTGCAACGATAGCCCCTTCCGGATCTTTGCGGCCCCTGGCGTAGCGAGCAGCAGTGGCCCTGGTAAGGTGTTGTTGTTGGCGCTTCAGGTCGGTTTTATTCTGCTTGCTTGGGATTCTTGAAGCCAGGTTGTCGCAGAGGCTTTATGGGTGTCTTTGGTAGTTGCATGGTGTTGGGCGTACTTCGCTGTTGGCTTTTGGGATTTGCTTTTTGAGCTTCTGTTTTATATATTACATGGTGGCTCCAGGCCAGGTTCTAGGTCCCTTGATCCTTGCGAGACCCTGACTTCGGCCCGAAACTGTACGACCCTTCGCCCAACTCCTCAAGTTTGAACTTAAACCCGCTCTCCCACACCACGAAGCCGGGACGTTGAGGTCGGATGAAGCCCCAGGCCTTGCACTGGATGGGCTCTGGCACAATCCCCGGCGTCATGACCTTGGAGTTCCGCGGTTTACGGGGCTATTGTCAAGCCTTTTGGGTATAAGTTGAACTCGCAAAGGCTTTCCGGGGCTTCGTAAGGTGGTTCAAGGGTTCCACAACGGTTTTGTTAGAATATTGTTCGTATTTGTTAGTCTGTGGATGTGTGTGTACGTATGCATGTATGTACATAGGTACGTATGTATGTATGTATGTATGTATGTACGCATGCATGCATGCATACACATATATATTTATGTTCATTATATTATTGTTTTTATCTGTACGTATTTGTGTGTGTGTGTGTGCCTGTCTGCCTGTCTGTCCGTACGTATGTAGGTAAGTGAGTATTCTTGTACGCATTGTATTGTATTTTATTCTTTTGTGTATTGTATTGTGTATGTTTACATACATATGCAATATGCATAGACTCATATAAATAAAAAGATGTATGTATCTATATATATATATATATATATACATATATATGGTACTGTGAGTCCTGTGTTTGTAGTCCGGCTGAGTTCACCAGCAAGAATCCGGTTCGGATCATTGGCACGGGCTTAGGGTTTCGTCACCACCAGGACACTCATGTTGCCATTAACTCTTCCTTGGCAGTTAGAGCGATGAAGAAGAACACGCAACAACAGCCGCCACGGCAAAACATCTGCAGAAACTCGCACTTCTCAGACCCACTTGCCGACCGATCCCTAGAAACACCAAAAGGGGCAGAACAGTGAAAACCCAGAGAAGATAGCTTTTTTCCAGTACTTCGGTTACCTCATATTATGGCACGTAAGGTTGGAAGGACGGCGCCCGCGGATCCAAGCCGAAACTACCCAGAGCCCGAATATGCCCAAACCCCAAACCAGCCTTGAAGATAGCTTTGTGTCAGGGCGTCTCGAACGGAAAAGGCCCAGCCGATGTGGCACGGCAACCCAGACGATCGGGTTTCGGGTTTTCGGATCTCTGTTATAGGGTATGATCTTTCTGGCATTGAGTTTTGTGTTTGTCCGTGACTCCCTGAACCCTCGGCCTGCAACGGACACCCTGCTTGGATGATACCTGGGCCTTGGTAGGAGTAGAGCGTTGACGGCAGCAGCTAAGTTGGGGTTCGAGATATTTTGGGAGTTACCTCACCCCATAACACCGACCTTTTGAGGATTATAAGGAAAACACAAGGAACCCTTAAGTGCTGTACCCGTTCCCGATACGCAGCAGCAGCAGCAGCCAGGAAGAGGTGAAGCCCGTCCTCTCGAAGCAGCCTCAAGACCAGGCCACTGTTCATATGCTGGTCGTCGCAGCCCACTTGTCTGTAGTGGGTGTTGCCACACTTTCGAGTTTCACGACTTTCAAAGGCATCATTCCGTTATTCCTCGCTCTTTGCGGTTGTGGGGAGTTGTCATTCACAACTCCGAATTCTGAGCTTGTCTGCGTATCGCTAAATAAGCCCAATCGGTCAGTCAGCATATGCCATGGATGCAGGCGGCTGAGATGGGTATGGGCATTGCCGTGGCCTCGGCGCAAGCTTCCATCGCCAAGTTTGCGTATGCCCTCAACCCACAGCCCTTGTCCTCATCCCTGCTTATGATTTTTCTGGCATTGAGTTTCGTGCTTGTCCGTGAATCCACCCTCGGCCTTTAACCCTAAACCCTACAACCCGAAATCGTAAACCCTAAGCCCTAGCATGAACCTCTGCCAGAAGAGTGGGAGGCCACACCTACACGAATCCAAAATGCTAGGATTTAGGATTTTGAGCGTTCATAACTAGAAGAGGGCCATATGAGGTTTTGGGATTTCGTTCTTGATGAGTGGCTCTCAGACACAATGTTTTGGGGATTCCGGGTTGAGGAGTTGAAAGAACATAGCCCCAGAGACCCGACAGAGGAGGTTACAGAGGTTAGGTTGAGAGGCCCTGCTTTAATGCTTCAGGGGCCCAGGTTTCACTTGTGAAGTCAGACTACGAACGCCACTTTGGCTCAAGAAAAAGAAGGGCAATGCAGCTAGATGCCCTGGTTCTTTAGAGGGTTGGCCGGGTTTAAGTACCTTCCTTCCCTCTTGATTGGTTATCAGCCGTAGCTCTTTGTTTCCTTTGGTTTCCTACTTGAACCCGGCCGCAGGGTTTTAGTGGTTCTTCCCCCTGCCATAGCAAGAGCGCAGCCTTAGGCGCGCTGGTGGGCAGATTGCTAGTGGGGTGCTGCCTTGTGCGCACCGGCTAGCATATGCCACCAAAGGGCGAGGCACCTGCCGGAGACAAACCCTACAGAGGGGGCCGCGCAGGAGCGAAGAGGAGGAAGCTTCACTTTTACCAAGCGCAGGACGCTTTGATCCAACTTGCTGAGTCGGTACAGAACATAATCGTGCGCAGGCGGAACTTTGAAGACGTTACCGAGGCCCACTACGACACGATTATTAGGTTCGGCCAGATTACAGAACAGGTCGACGTATTCCACCCAGTGTGGGCAGACCTGGTCGAGTACTATCCTGAGTTGTGGACTGCTTTTTCGGACGTGACGGAAGAGCCTGCCACTGGGTCAGGAGCGCGTTGGAGGCCGAAAGCCGCAGCAAAGGCAGCTGGGTCGGGGGGTGCTGCTTCAAGCGCACCACAGGAGGAGGAGCAGCCAGCCGAGGAAGCGTCAGGCGCGCCCGCAGAGGGTGCAGCCCCTGGCGCACCGGCGCAGCCGCCCACACCTCCGAAGGCGCCGGCTCTTGGAATAAGGGGACCCACGCGGGACCTTTATTACAGGGGCCGGAGCGACCCACTGAGGCAGAGGAGGGTGCCAGCAGAGCCAGAACAGATCATTGAAGACACTGGCGCGAGAGCATCTTCCGAGCCACCGGCTGCCGAGGACGAGGTAGATCTGTCCAGAGCTGGCGGGAATCCGGCAGAAGATTCCCTGCGATCTGCCAGGCGCGTCCGCACCCCGCCGGCGCGGCGAGCGCAAGAGGAGGCACGCCTGGAGGAGCTTAGGCTCCGCGGCTCGGTGTTTGCCTCTTTTAGGGACGCCGAAGACGCGGAGCCCGAGCAGGCCGAGCAGGCAGAGCAGGCAGCCGGCCGGGAAGAGACCGAGGAGATAGAGGTAGAGGTCGAGGTTGCCCAAGGCGACGACGGGGGTGCTGCCGTAGGCGCACCGGACGACGAGCCCGCAACCGAAGGCCGACAGGCAGAAGGCGCCGAGGAGGAAGAGGCAGCAGAGGAGGACGAGGCAATAGACGTGCCCCCTGCCTCGGAGGCAACAGTTTCTCCAGCCTCCTCGGAAGCCGCAGCCCCGATCAGAGAAGTGCGCGTGAGTGTGGGCCGCGGCCGGGGTGTGACCCGAAGGCCGCTTATCCTGGCACCCGCCACCGAGACTTTCCCCACAGTTCGGGTTGATAGTCAGGGTGCTTGGGTTAGGGTTAGGGATCCTAGTGCAGTTCCCTCCTTTCAGCGTCGTGCCGTGCCCCCCCCGAGGGTGCAGCGCACCGCGCACCAAGGGGACGCAGAAGAAGCACTTAGTGCACCTGATCCGTTTGATTTGCCCAACGACGCGTGGATCGACCCACATTCTTACCGGGAGGCCTATACAGCTAGTGGGGTTCCTAGGGGTGTGTCCGTAGCGCGCATAGACACCAGCTCAGAAGAGGAAGGTAGGCAGCGGGGTGCTGCCTCAGGCGCACCGGCAACACCCAGGGCACCACCACAGAGAAGGCCGTTCCGACAGGGTGAGATCGTGGAGGCTGAGGTGGAAGAGACAGCGACCTTGAGACGGCGACCCGCGACTCCGGAGGGAGAGCCTCCAACGAGGCGCCCCCGCGTTGTCTTGACCCCAGCGTCCAAGGCATCAAGCGTCCCCGCCACAGCCAGCGCACCGTTGAGGGTGACGCGCCCGCCTCCAAAGGCCAGGCCCAGGACCGCAGGCGAAGGCACAAGCACAGGCACAGGTCAGGCCAAGAGAGGTGCAAAGGCAGAGCCCATAGAAGCCGTCGAGGAAGCAGGGCCCAGAGAGCGCACAAGGACCCCGCGCCGACCAGAAGCAGCTCCCCCAAAGGGTGCTGCCCAGGCGCACCGGGGTCGAGGGCGCAGCGGGTCCTGGCCGCCCAAGCGGCAAGCATCTTCTTCACCAGAGGGTGCGGTTTCTGAGGGTGACTCCCCAAGGTCACGTGCACCGGCGACCAAGGAGAGCCTGCCAAAGGCGCGGCAGTCGCAGCCAAAGCTGCCCTCGAAGGTGCCACCCACAGATAGGCACGGGGTAAAGTATAAGTCCCCTCCTGTGCCGGCGCCACCCGCGCCAAAGGGGGCGGCAGCACAGGCGGTGTTCAAGGGCCCGCCGCACGCTGTGTTTGTGGCTAGCATCACCAGAGGTGGCCAGGAGCAGCCCAAAGCAACTTCCAAGGCTCCGCCGCCGATTGTCACCGGCAACCGCCAGAAGCTAGCTTATCACGCGTGGGCACAGCAGGCTAGAGACGAGGAGAACGCCCAGGCCGCAGCTTCAAGCGCGGCAGCTGCCAGTGCTTCCTCGCAAAGGGTGCTTGCTTCGCGCACCGAGGCCACGATTGTCTTCGACTGGCACCACGTCTTAGACAAGGCCTGGATCGAGTCCACAGGAGCTACCTGGGAGACCCGCCGTGGCTCCCACGGATATTTCAACCTTGAGTTTGTGGACGCGCTCAAAGCATTCTGCGAGGAGCATAAGCCACTCCGATTGGCAATTTTGAGCTATAGCACACCCTCTTCAGCGGCGTGGTATCGTCATCATTTCCTCGAAGAGGCCCTAGAGTGCTTGCGTTTGGTGTTGCCGCTGAGCATCAACCTCAGCATCGGCCAAACATATCAGCGCACTGGCCCCGACGGGAAGGCACAACAGTTGTGCCAGATAGAGCCGCCAGCAAGTCTCATTATTGACGACAATCGCGGCATTATAAAAGAGTGCGCGAAGACAGGCGCGCTCACTGTGCAGGCGCAGAAGGGTGGCGGCGTCGACCAGCTGATCTTCGAGCTCAACCAGGCAAGCGCGTTGATCAAGCGAACGGGGCGCAACAACCTCCCAAAGGCTCGCCACCTGGAGCCCCGCGAGCTCCTTTACGAGAGGTAGCGCCCTAGGGTGCTGCCATTGGCGCACCGGGCCGGCTCACCCAGCCTGCGTGTCGCCACCGCCTGCTCCTCTCGCGGCGCCCTAGGGTGCTGCTCCAAGCGCACCGGGCCACCTTAGTGGTTTAGTGCCTTGGGTTTTTGTAGCATAGGGGTCGCAAACGTCAGCCCCATCCTCTCGGGCCGCCGCCGCCGCACGACACCATCCCTTGCAGCGCCCTAGGGTGCTGCCTGTGGCGCACCGGGCCGGGTAACAGGTCTAGGGTGCATTTGGGTTCTAGTGCTGGGTGGTGGTCCCTAGAGACAGTGTATCATACTTTTGCCTTTGTGTGTGTGCTGCCTTTTGCGCACAGCCGTCGGCACACACCTTCTTTCAAGACACTTGGTCCCCGAACGGGCCGACCATCGCGAGCATCAGTCACAAAAGTCTTTTCGAGAGTGGTTGCGTGAGGGGTCCTGTTTTCTTGCCCCCTCCCCTTTTGCCCTAAGGTTCTTTTGGGGATTCTTTCGGGTCCCGGCCGATAGGCGGTTTTCGTAGACAGGGTGTTGTTTGGGCTCAAAGGCTCAAGCTTCAGGAGGTGAAGCCATGTCAGGCATCTCCCCACCATCAGAAGACCGAAGCCGAAGCCGAGCATCCGGGGAATCCTCCTTTAGCGACCCAGAGCTTTTTAGCGGCCAGGCCTTGGTGCCAGCTGCGGCAACCATTCTTAGGATTAACCAGCCTACCCCCGCACCACAAAGGAGTGAAGGGTATAGCTCGTCCTCCGCGGCGTCTCCCCCACAAAGGGGTTCCGAACTTAGCGCAACACAAGCCACCTTTATTGCAGGTGCCGCCGTGACACACGCCCACCACGCCTCCGGCGTTGCCTTGGGTGCTGCGTCCCTCGCGCACCAGGCTGCAGAAAGGGAACAGCAAACAGTTGCTCAAGCAAGGGAGGCTGTAATGCAAGCAGGCTTCCAAGCTGCAGCGGCCGAGGCACAGTACCGCGACGAGGCCCAGTCGATCGCACGAGCTGCGCAGGGTATCGTGGATGATGCTAGGTTTCGAGAAGCCAGCCTTAGGCAAGAAGCCCAATCTGCCATTGACGCCACCAATCGTGAGGCTCAACAACGGGTCTCGGTGATTCAAGGTGAGGCCCAGCAAGCCATAGCCCAAAGCAACCATTCAGCCCAAGCTAGGATCAGGTTAGTTGAGGGTGAGGCCCGGGGTTTATCAGAAGCTCTTCGGCAAGCCACTTTGGCACGAGAGCAGGCTGAGGTCGATAGGCAGGAAGCGGTTCAGCGTTTACAACAACGTGACGCTGATATCATGAGGCTGGCCGGCGAGATGGAGATCATGCAGCGACGCCACGAGGAGGCAATGGCCGTTATGGCCGAGCGGTATCGTGACCTTTCTGCTAAATTCGTGGAGAGTAGCAACACGCAGGTCCCACGAACTCCA